TCGCATAAATTTTTAGTAAATAAGTAGAGAAATACCAATAAATAATATTAGCTATGTCAATGAATTGAAATTATAATTCAGAACACTTTGCAATGCATGCTACAAAATTGTTTTGAAATAATTCACAAACATAATTCAACCACAATTAACTTAATTCGACTGTGCTAATGGGAAATTAAACTCATAGCAATTATATTTATATATGTATTTATAAACATAGGGTATAAAACATATACACACACACACACACACACACACTCGCAAACATTTAAAATACTTTGCGAAATATTATGTTCCCCCCTCCGACAGCTGTCGCATTGAGTTTGGGTCAGTTTGGGCTGGCTGGGCTGGCATTCGAAGCGCGTCGACTTGACTCGGGGCATGCAATTAATTAAAAATACATGCAACGCTAAGAGGCACGGACAAATCCACCGTTGCCCACCATGCGACGACTGAATTATATAGGAATATGCGGCTTTAATTTGACCGCAAAGCACTCACTTCGGGGTTGGCATATCGAAGCACTTATATACTATGTATATTTTATATGTAACGAGTACCCTCTCAAGCAACGCTAAATGCATTAAACCACCTTAGCCTTAGTGGCAACCTTCCCCCCTCTCATTCTCTCTCTCTCTCTCTGTGTATCTTTCTCTCTCTCTCTCAGTCGCACTCTCGCTGATAGCCAGTGGTAAACAACGCTGTAGTAGAAAACAAATAGAAGAGCGCACAGAAACAACATCCACGCGAGGACATCAAATAAAGTTAGGCAAACAAGAGCATTAAGTGCATAGATGTTGTTCCTGCTCTCCACAACTAGAGTTCCTCCTCGCTCCTTGCTCCTTGCTGCTCGCTGCCCGTTTAGCTCCAGCTGATGCGACAGCAGCAACAACTTCATTAGGCAAGTGCTGCAGCCTGTTAGCCACGTCTTCAACTTGCTGCTATTGATTTCCTTTTTCGCTTTTCTAGCCATATTTCCATTAGGTGTATTCCCAATGCCATTTTTACTTATTTCTATACCCTGTCCACTGCTGCCTATGCAGACTGACCATACTGTCTGTCTGACTTTTTCTATTTTTCCAGCCATCTGCCTATTGAGCATATCAATATTATTATTATTTATATTGGAAGTGCTTAAAGTACTGTGATCTGTTAGATCTATTGAACCTATAGCTCCAATGAAACTTTATTTTCCATATTTTAAGAATGCTATTGACCAAAAGAGATTGGAGTATTAGATTGGAGTACTATATCATTGGATTGGAGTATTGGATTAGCTGGAACTAGCAGTCGAAAATTAAATTCTATTTTCATTTCTTAACATATCGGCATCTAACTGACCAATAATGAAATTTAACTACAATTCTGTGAATATGTGAATATCAGTCATTCAGCTACATTATATAGTAAGCCGGAATGAAGAACTATATCATACATCTATAATAGCAACTAGAGCTCGTAAATGAAGTTCCTAGCGTACTTTAATATTTATCTATGGTGTCATGAAAATCGGATAACAATATAACATATTTTATAAATGTGATAAAAAAAATTGAGTTGAAACAAAGTATTATTTTGAAGATCTCTTAAACAAACTCACACATCATCTGACGTCAGATTTGTACATAAAGTATTTTGTATTTTTATTTGAAGATTATACTCAGTATTTTTGTATTAATTATCTGATACTGAATGTCTTATTTAAATTTTATAATTATCTGCTGGTCAACTGCCAGTTGAAGTCTGCAGGGAAACTGTTAGTCGGAGACACTCGATTTGAGCACTCGTATTAGTTTTCCTCTATACGTTTTGTGTTATTCTTGTTTGATTTTATTTATTCTTTTTTTTGCTGTTCAGTATTTGCACCTGATGCTTATGCTTTGTCTTGCGGACACACCGTGCAGAGTGTCAAATGCCATTAAATGTCAACTAACGGCAGCAAAAGGAGCAAGTGGCGCCCAAGTGGCCAGCTAGCTGACTCCCGAGAGCCACGCGGAAAGGACAGCTCGTCTCCAGCTACTGATTGCCAGTAGAATAATATCTAGGAGGAGGAACGGGGGGCTCGGGGAAGGACTTAGTTGGGGGCAAGCGGAAATTTTACTTACCTTTGGCCGTGTCTATAGACAAGTGGCAAACGCTCTCACAATATTTTGATGGCTCTGACAGGTGAAAGCGATTGTGACAGACACACATATATATATGATATATATATATGTAGATATGTCGTTAAAAATGTATGCAGCTCATACAAATATACGATATTAAATGGCATGTGTTATGGGTGTGGCAAAGTCAACACAAGAAAACCTATCTAAATAGACCTAAAGTAGGTGTTCAAATATTATTAAGTATATGCTACCGAAAAAAAAGTACAATAAATAAAGCGAATAACAAAAGCGATGACTGTGCCAGGTAAACCCCAGCACATGCATTTAAACATATCTCAAGTGCGCCTATATATATATAAAGTTCATATAAGATATTTATATCTATCCCTTTTTTAACAGTCTTTCAGGCCATATTGACTTCTGCAGAAGCTGCAAAGGCAAAGCACACTGGAAAGCCCCTTTCAGTTACCAAAAAAAATTACAAAATCTAAAAACGCAACTGATTGAAACACTTTTGAAAATCTCGTTGTTTACCTTCAGGCTATATATATATATATACCAAATTAATGAATATAACTTCATATAAGAACATTTTTAATTATTAATCTTTTTGCAATAGCTAAACTTTGAAACAAATTTTCATATTTCATTATATTTTTTTATTCATTTTAGTTTTTTACACACAAAATCAAGCTATTTTTAATTTTGTATATACCGTTACGATTCGTATTAAATTTTTCCCTTCTATTCTAATTAATTTAATTTATTAACAGTCTTTCAAGCTATTTTGATGTTGAAAAGAGTGACGAAATCAAAAAATAAAAGTTCAGATATTTGAGAAATAATTTTTTTTTTTTAATTTGCAGCAGTTTATAAAAAAAATGAATTTAATTTTTCCATTTCTTGCGATTGCGATTCTTGTTAAATTTCAGCTTTTCTGGTCTGTCTGGCAATTTGGTTAGGTTGGGCCATGGCGTTGCCAAATTATGGCAATAATCATGATGATGGGTCAGGATAAAAATCTAGGAATTGTGGCAGCGTCTAATTGAATGCATGCTGGGCGTTCGAGTTGCTAAACTTTGTGGCATCCGCAGGGGCAGCAACTGAATTGCAGAGGGCGATGATAAACGAGCGAGTCGAGTCGGGTAGAGTCAAGTAATAGGAAACAAACAAGCATTAAGCCAAAAATATAGAGTATATATATATATATATGTGTATATCTAAACAAATGATATTTATGGCCTGCTGCCGGAGTGGGAGTCAAAGTGCCGAGGCAGGGGGCAGTCAAGAATTTTTGGCAACGCTTAGACGCCTCTGCAAGCCGTTTACTAAGCTTGGTTTATATTTATGTGCCCAGCCAAGAGAATAATCAGCAACACCTCATAAATTAACGAGGCGGCTGCTGTTGCTGCTGCTGCTGTTGCTGCTAAAAAATATTTTTAGCCGCTTTCAGCAAACAGCACCGCAACCCAATGAAACTTGGCCAGCAGGTCAGCAGCTGTTGAAGCAGTTAATAATAATATTTATGAAACGAACGCAGCACTAGGATATTCAAAAACGAATCGCCTGTTTTATAACAAAAACCAAACTAAGCAAGCAGCTATGTATATATATATACATATGTCTATATATTTATATATATATTTCAAACTTCACATCTCCAGCATTTATAGTCACTGAGGGTAAGCAACAAATGTGCAATTCAAAATGTAAAACCGGGGTGTGGATTGAAAGGATGTGTGCATCTGTGTGTGAGTGTGTGTCTGGAAGGGTATGGACTGTGTGTGGAAGGAGGAAGTGGTGCTGGGAGCAGCTTTAGGCTGAGTTGTTTTGCTTCAGCACCTTTCAGACACACAAACAGCAATCAGCTCAGGCAGACGAAATGGGGCGCAGGCGTTGGCTCCCAGTTTGAGCCATTCCGGCATCCTGGCTTTACCCATAGCAACAGCATTCTCGTTGCATACATCCCACACACACACACACAAACACACACACACACATAATGTACTGTGTGCGAGAAAATCAATAAAATGTGTTTTTATTTTTGTTGCTGCTCTGGGCAGAGATTTTTTTTGTTGCCAATGGCCAACAAATATAAATTTTCGTTGCACTTAAGCCCTTTAAATATTATCAATGGGCAAAGCAAAAAGATACGCACACAATTGTAGCAACAAATGTAGACAATGTGGCAGGTGTTGCCAAACCGGACAATGCTTTTGGGGGGGCATCAGCGAAATTGAAATGCCCTTGAGTACTAGCCAAAGGCAATTGTATGAATTATTTATATGTGGTCTTGACTAAAAAGTAATTACAATTTTAATGAGCTTATGTCTGGCAGCAAAAATAAAAATATGAGTTTAGGCTTTTAATTTGTTTAAGTAAATATTTATTGAGGCAATAGTCTGAGGCATATAATTTCATTGTAGCTATAAATATCAATTATAAAGCAGAAATGGATACTTCAAGCAGCTGTCGAAATCGATTCAAGCCAGAATTTAAAACGAGAAACATGTTTGCCTTAAAGCGGAATTTCACAAAATGCATTTATGCAAAATAACACAATATTAGCTCAGTAGACCGTAATAATTGTCATATTCGAGTTGGGTGTGGACAACATGCACATATATGTATATCGTGAGTGAGTCCTGAATGCCAGAGTGGGCGGGGCAGGTGTAAGGATTCATTGGTCAGTTGCAGCAGTAAAGTTCAGCAAAGTGCAGACAGTTTCACAAAATTGCTTAATTTAGCGCGAAAAATTATCCAGTAGACGTTGCTAGAGCTACAGGCTTACTAAGGGTTAAACTTGCCACACAGAGTAGCCAGACGATACACAAATTTCAAAATGTCATAGAAGATATACAAAAAACACACACAAGCTAAATAAAATACAATCACGGACACACACACAGATACACACACAGTTACAGATACAGATATATATTCACGAAATGCCCATTCAGACGAACGAAAATCCCGAAAATGGATCAACAGCGGTGCTCCTCGACTCCTCGGAAGCCAAGGATTGTGTTGTCAATCCCAAAAACATTGGCTGGAATCTGCCAGTAACGAAGGAGAGACCGACCGAGCTGCACTCACCCGCACAATGCAACTATCTGAGTGAGATGCAAGTCAGCCACAAACAGATCACCGATCGCTTCGTGGAACTGCTCAGCCTCTTCGAGGAATACTCAAAGATTGTGCGAGAGAGCGGACAGGCTCAGCCGAAGCTCAAACGTTCGCAGTCCGAGCAGTTTACAGCGACGCATCTGCAGCCAGCGGAGAGTAAGTAACAGCGAGAGAGAGCGAAAGAGAGAAAGAGTCTGCCTTGAAGAGAGCTTGAAAAGCTTCTGCTAAAGCAGCAGGCAGAAGAGAGACAGCTTTCGCAACACAATTAGTGCAGGGCAACGAACAAGGGCTGTCTGTATAGAAGCTTCGAGAGCTGAGCTTCGATAACAGAGCTTTTATGCAGACAGATTTATATCTGGCGTAGATCGAAATTTATGTAGTTTTTTTTTATTGAACGTAGCGTCTGCTGATTGGCCTAGTCCGTATGTGCGTCTTAAAAAGCGTGGCAGAAGGGAGACAGCTTCGTCCACAAAAATAGTGCAAGGCAACGAAATACAATTTTGAGTTCTTTCAAATTGAAATATATTATTATATAAATATATATATATATATAATACATATATAGATGAAGTTGAATTTCTCGATAGTTCGCATAGGAATAATCGCTCAAAAACGAATTCATATAGCTATAATATATTATTAAATATATATCTCTAATTGTATTTCTTGCTCTTATAGCATTGTTTTCTGCACTCTTAAACGTTCCTCCAACAGAACTTATAAGTTTTAAAGTGACAAATACCCTAGACTCCTATGTATCAGGATTCTAGTCTTCTAGCTCCTAGACTGCCATTTAACTAAGGTACCAGTCTCTTAGGCCCTCCTAGTCTCTCATTCTCGACTAGAGTATTGTGGTTTGGTACTAAATAGATTTCGTAACTGTTACGCAGCAGCCGCTAGCAGTGAACTGGTGAAGAGCACCGTCAGCTTGAATCGCATGCAGCTGTCGGAGTCAACGCTGCTGGCTGCGTCGAGCAAGCTCACCTGCGAGGTGGGCATCCAAACCTACTGGCCCCTGTGCAACGACAAGGACAGTCTGCTCAAGGTCAGGCCGGAGCAAATGAAATCGGATCTGGTGCAGCAAACGACGCTGCACATTGAGGTCGAGTCGGTTAGCTCGGCAGCGGCCTTGGAGCGTGCACCGCTGCGTCAACGCTTGTGGCAGGTGCTGGTCGAGGTGGGACAAACACTGAGCGCCTGCTGCTCGATGATGGGCGAGAATATCACCTATGTGCTGTTCGTGCTGCTGTGCATGTGGTGCCTCTACTTGATCATTGAGCACTACTCCAGCTTCCTGGGTGGCAATTTACCCAGCAAGCAGACGGCGACCAGCAAGTTAATCGATTAAATCTTAATAAACAGTATTTTATTGAAAATGGCATTTATCGAAACATACTCGGCGTACAGCAACACATAATGGCCAGACTGCAGTACAGTGCCGAAGCAAAATCGGTCAACATATAGCAGAACCGATCACCCAATGGCGGCCGATGTGGCAAATTGGGCGTCGGCACGGTGAGTGCATCAATGAAGACCGTCTGACGGCTGAGTTCGCACGGCGCCAGATCGCTAAGGGCACGATCTCCGGGTGTTACCACACAGTGATTTCGCTTACGGGTGAGACGGGGCTGTTCCGTTTGACAGGCGGTACTCCTAAACTTTCCCAATAACGGTACGGTCTTGGCGTATATGTCAAACTCATCTTCAGGCCTATCTGCGGAATGAAGTTGCCCAAATTAGCACTGGGGTCGAATCTCAGAGCATTAATTTACCCGCAGTCAAAGCAGGACCCAGCCAACTGTGCCACAGTTGTCTTTGATCGTCTGCTGAGGGAGGATTGCGAGGAGTTGCTGCTGAGAACATTGCATCATCGATGACCTTGTCGGTCAGTTGCCTGATAATCTCAGCATTTGCACCCTCTTCTTTATCCTCGTTCTCGTCCTCAGCCTCTTCCTCCAATGTGCAAGGCATTAGACCCAAGGCATCGAAGAGCCTTTGGCATGGTCCTGCTTTGGATTCCGATTTAGCCGATAGACTCTGCTCGATAACGTTGCCAACTAAGTCGGCTATTAGGCTGTCTATGACGATGCCGATTTGGTTCGTTTTGAAGGCCATGAAGCAACCAATTTTGGAATTTTCTACAGTTAAAAATTGTGTAAGAACATATTAAAAATAAAGGAGCAGCAAATAGAATATGAAATGTCAATTTCAGACAACAAACTGACAGTTTGAGCACCATTTTAAGCAACCAAAACAAAATCCAAAATTAAGAATGAATAATGCTGGCAATAAAGACTCAATCCAAGAGGCGCAAGGGAAGCAGGTGAATCCAAATGATGTGCTCCTGCTGCCCGATGCTGAGCTGGGCGAAACGGAAACAGATGCACCGGATGCACTGCAGCCAAGGCAGGTGAGCTTTGATCCGACACTGGAGCGACAGAGGCTGAGCGAGGCACAGACGCTGGTCAAGGACATGATTGAGACAATGCTGCCACAGAGTGAATCCGAACCACAACACGATGCTGAGGTAACCATAACAGAACAACCGATGTCAACCGCCCAGCTGTGCCACAATGATGAACGCTTGCAGCGCATCCTGCGGTTGCTCGATCGCTACACACGCAATCTGGAGGCGATCGAGGAGCATGTGCGGAGCCGAGAGACCGGCGCGAGAACAGCTGCCCAACAGTTGGATGACGGCACAGAGCTGCAGTTGACGCAACACTGCGAGTTGGCAACCCAAACGCTGCCCCTGAATAGTCTGCGACTGGATGTGACCAGCACAATCAGACCGAAGAGCAGCGACGCAGCCAGCTGCCGACAACAGCAGCAGCAACAACACCAGCAGCCACAGCAGCAACAGCAACAACAGCAACAGCTGCCGCCGTGTGAGCGTCGTTATCACACAATCACAATCAGCACAAATAGCTCGGCGGCATTTGCGGCACGTCCACAGCCCGTTTCGGTGCTTGGGAGGATGTGGCGAGCACTATACGATTTTGCGGCGGCCTGCTGCCTGTGCCTGCAGGTGAACAAGGATTGCCTATTTTGTTTGGGCTTCTTTCTGGCGTTTGTGATTAGCGCCAGTTTCCTAACGGCCTTCTTCTATCGCACCATCAATCTGACCCAGCCGGCGATACGCGTGCCTGTCGAAGCCATGGAAACACATGCCGCATTGGGCACCCCGTCCACCGGCAATATGGTCACAGTGCGCTTCAATGGTGGCTACTACTACATCTACAATCATCAGCGGCAGCATTTTGTATAATATTTTTCCCAATTTCATTCGCAATTCAGTTCTAAACTCTATATTTGTAGGATATTCCAATTTCTGTATTTTTAATCTTCATCACTCAAGATAGACATACCGCCTCAGGAGGACTGCTCGATCAAATCGAGAATCGAGGGCGCGTTGGGTTTAATAAACTCATTTTACTAGGATGGACATTATAGACAAATAAAATATATAAAAAAAACTATAAAGAAGTATTTATTATTTTTCTATCGATAGTTATCGATAGTTATCGATAGTTTTAGCGTCGAAACTCAATCTCATTTTTCAGGCTGAAGATCGTAATTTGTCAGATTATTTCATATGAATAAATATCTATATCTATAATCTATATATCTACAATAGCTCAACTCAGTTCAGAGCTCTGACAAATTAATAAAAGAGTGTTTTAAAATATTTTCAAAATAGGTGCAGCTGATACGAATTTTTTTTCGTCTAGGTTTTCATTCAAATTTTACAATCAATAGTGTTTCTCTGATTTTAAAGTTGAAATTTTGCAAGTATGAAGTCTGAATAACATCTCAGTTAAAGGATCTGATAATTTATATTAGTTGATAACAATAAAAAATAATAATTTAAAATCAATTCTATGGACTCAAAATGATTGAAATCTTAGCCTAGTTTTCATTCAAACTTAAATTCAATAGTGTTTTTCAAATTTTGAAGCAAGTTTGACATCAGAAAACCTTGTAATTTCTCAGCTGGATATTGGATAGTATTTTTCAAATGTATATTGGCAAAAAGTAGATCATCGATTACGATTCATTATTAAAATATAAAGAACATCTACAAATACGCCATACTCTTAAAATGCATCTAGTTTTATTCAAATAGATATGGTGTTTTTTCGGACTGTGAAGTAAGTTTTTGATGTAAAAATTCATTTTTGAAAAATACGGAATATAATTGAAATTGTTAGTAGTTATTCATTCAAACTGGAGTTCAAATATACACGGTATTCAATGGTGTTTGTCGCATTTTAAATGTTCAATCAAAACGGATGAAAAAGTAGTGGATGAACAAGAAATGAGCACTTGCTGGCCCAAATGCCAACTGTCAGCTAACAATGACTATAAATTCTCATAGTCATGACTGCAATTGGTTTGAGTTTTTGGGCTTGAGCTTGGGAGATCACTTTGAGGACAGTTTGAATACACTTGCATTTTGAATTGTGGACAAACGTCACATTTATTCTGCTGGCCAAGGAACTCTGCACTTTGTGCTCTTCATCGTCAGTTCTGCGTCGTCCTTTGCCAGAGAGAAAGAAGCAGAGATGGCGATAGAGAGAGAGAGAGAGAGAGAGAGAAAGAGAGAGTTCATTTGTTTGTTGTCATTTTTATTTTTTGTGTCAGGCGTCGCATTTAACTTCAGTTGACAATGGGTCACAAAACGGCAACCATGCCACAGCGCCAGCACCGAAATTGGCCACAAAACGTTCCTCGCCTGCTGTGCTGTGCTTTGCTGTGCGGGCATAGAAAACTTTTTGGCAAGATGCCAGCACAAAGGAATTATTGTTAATATGGGCGGTAGCCCGGACAGAGCCCAGAGCTCAGCTGAGCCTGGGGCGGGCAGCCAGGCAGCCAAACAGCCAGGCAGCTAGGCAGCTAGGCAGCCTGACCAGGCTTTGAATCTAATTTATTTATGCGAAAATTGCCAAACATTTTCAAAATTCAACACTCCACATATTGCTTCACAGCGAATAGTCAAATACACACATGACGCACATAATACATACACTTCAAATTAACTGAGACAAGGACTAATTGGAATTTAAAAATATATATGTTTGTAACACATGAATCTAGTGAATATGATTTGGAAAAAGGCCAAAAGCTATTACTTTTGCTAACTCATATTAAATATTTATTAATTAAGCGTTTAAAATTAGTTCAGGGAAAAAGTCCATGTTTTATCAAATATTTAAAGATATAAAATACATTTTTAAAATAACTTCTAAATGTTTTAAATAAATTCAGTTGCGCGTAGTCTAAAAAAAAAAAAGTACACTTTGATAGATAATATTTATAGATTTACAAAAATATCTTGTTAAATATATTACGCAATTTTTAAATGACTTTTTCTGTTTTGAATTTATTCAGTTAAGGCCAGTATATAAGGATTATAGCTATATATAATATTAATAGATATTTATAGAAAAATATAAACATAAATTATCAAAGAGTTTACATAGATGTTATATATAAATAATTAAAATGCAGCTATTATATTATTTTAATAAACCAGCCTTTAAAATACTGTTTACAATTAATCTAACATCGTAAATATTAATCAAATATTCAGATCAAAAACGGTTCCATATTTAATTTTAATGAATGTTTATTGTTATTTATTCATTTATTCTAGCGCTACAAATTTACAACTTATTAATTAAGTCGCAAAAGAGTTAAATAGTATTTTCAAGTCTTTTAATTTTGTAGATAATGCTTAATGCTTAAATTGAATTAGTGTGAAATGAATTGTTAACAAAATCAAGAAGTTAATACAATTGACTTGTTTGGTTGCCATTTGTTCGCTCATCCAACTGGCAAACTGCTTGTTACAGTTAAGAGACTGTTGGCCCAGTTGGGCGGCAAATGATATGTGATATATTTTATTGAGTTCTCTGCGCCGGCTGAGTGGCAGTTGGGCAAAACGGATAAACTGTTTAGATGGCAAATTTTACAAAATTGATTTCTTATTTATTTATTTATTATTATTTTCTTGTTGTTTATCGCTCTGCATTTTTGTTTTGCTTTTGTATTATTTGTTGGCACTGAGCGGCTCAATTAAAGTTGGAGCGAAGAGTGGAGAAACTGTCAAACAGTTTGGGCAGTGCTTTCAAGTTCTCTGCTTGAGGGAGTTTATATATATATATGTATATTTTTTTGGGGGGTTGGGGGTAGGTCTGGGTTTTTTTTTTGGGTATGGAGGGCTTTCAATGGGTGAGCACAGGGCGACGCGCGTTTCCGCTGGCAGGAAATTGAATTGCACGAGCACGCGAAATTACATCATTTTGGAACCACGGTAAACAATTTCCCGTTCACCTGGCACTGTCGTTTTTTCGACATCCATTTTTAGGGGGCTGCAACAGCGTTTTGGGGCATGCGGCGCAATGGACGGGGGTATACAATTTTTTGACAAGCAAATATGTTGTTGCTAGGCTGCAACCTTGTTAACGGCAATTTGTGCGAAAATATCAATTTCACTTTTTGCATTTTTTGTTTTCGATTTGAATGGAAAATAAACAAGACAAAAAATACCTTAAACCATATCGTGCGGGTATATCTGCATACATATCGCATCGCATAGTCCGCACACACACACACACGCACACACATACTCTCACACACACACATACTCTCACACACAGCCACACACATTTTAGACACACGAGCACAAAATGGCGGCGCTATAAAAAAAAAAGTAATGATAACAAAAAATAAAAAGAGCCAACAGGCAATCAAAATGTCTGCGAACTCGAAACAGACAATGACAGACAGCATATGGACGGGATATATTTATGTGCATACGGGGGAGGGCAGTTCAATGAGTTCCACACTCGCACTCCAGATGCGACAACTAATGGCAGCGCTGACAAATAATAGCCCAACATTTCGCACATTTCGCAATTCCATTATGACGTTAACGTTAAATTACGCTCATAAATGGACAAATCGACTTCTTTTTATTTAGGTATATTCTTTCATATATTGCCACATCGATCGAACAACACGGCTTTGTGGGGTCTCCATTTAATTGGGTCTTTTGCTGGGTATTTTGCTCATCTTCAAAACTAAAATGTGGAATTGTTGTCTTGAAATATCAACTGTTTATTACTCTGATATTGTCATACTTATCAAAGTTCGATTCGAGTTTCTAACAACAATTTCTAACAGTAACAGATTTTGCGAATGCTGATTATTCCTTATGGCAAATTGAATAAGCAACAACTTTATAAGAAATGTTAATAGTTGAATCAGGCTCAAAATTAAACAGATTTCGCTTTATAGAAATACCATTTTAATCTATAAGTTGAAAATAAAACTGAATGATTAAGCATATTTTAATATAATTTTCATTCTACGTAAAATAAGTTGAAAAGCAAACTGAATCATAAAGAATTTGTTAATGTTTAACGATGCCAGTAGAAAGATGATTTACTGAAAAACACAGAATTCTTAAGTATACTCTTTAAAATGATATTGAGAGTTGATCTCTTTACAAAAAGCATACTAATTAAATGTAAATTAACAGTTTTAAGTGTACTTTGCAGTACTTGTTGAGCAGCCCTCGTTCAAATTTTTGCTCATATGCTGTTTCAAGCTAAAGCGAAACTCAGTCAATGTGCCACTCCCACTTGGCAGCCCTTCCACTGCTGTTGCTGCTGCTGCCGCTGCTGCTGCTGCTGCATATTCTTCTTCTTGTGCAACTACTACAACATGGCAACGCTGTCAGTTTGAAAGGATTATTGCCACTTGCCGCTTGTGGCGTACGTTCTTAAATTGTAACACGTTTGAAACAAGTTTAGATACGTGCGGCGCTCGTATCTTTTGGTTTTTCTGTTTTTTTTTTATTTTTTTATTTTGGGTTCTGGGTCTGGGCATTGAGTTTGGAGTGGTGTTTGTGTTTGGGGGTTTGGGGATTGGGGTCTCTCAGTCGTCGCTTCTTTGGCTATGTAAAAAGTCATCAACGGCCAGTCGGCCACTCAGCCAGTTAGCCAGATAGCTCGAGATAGCCCAGCCAGTCAGACAGACAGCCAGCCAGCCAGCTAGGCAAAAGCGAAATGGCTGCGACTGGTTTGACGGGCTTTTAAATGGGCCCGCGGTCTTTGCTGGCCAGCAACAACAATTTGCCCTCACTTCTTCGCTTGAACCCCAGCAGCAGTTGGAATAGTCGTAAAAAAAAATTCAAAAAAATTCGCAAAAAAAAATTAAGTAAAGCGATATAAAAACAAAATACAAAAAAATAAAATAAAAATAAACTGCACAAAACACAATTGTTAAAGTTTTAGGCTGCCCCAAAGAAACACGAGCCGAAGAGCAACGTTCTTCTAAAGTTTCTCAAATGCCTGGGGAGCCAGCGAGTAGAGATTGATTGTGGACGCCAAAAGTCATTCATCATGCGATTCACAGCATGACAATAAAACACGTACCCCAAACTGTGGAGCCCTCCCTTCTTCTCCCTTCTCGCTTCTGCACCCCATCACCCGTAGTCCGGGTGGCAACGAGAGACTCGCATCATTTTGACACTCGCTTCGAGCAACAGTTAAATAATTGCACGAATTAATGAGTTAAAGAATAGAATAATTAAGACCAAACTGGAATTGATGGCAACAATCCAATTCTAATTCTAATTCCAAGTCAACAATAAATCTTAATACATATATGTGTGTAAAATATATTTTAATTCGATATTCAGTCACAAGACACACTTCTCCAAGATAATATATTTTATTTGCTGAATGCATTAATTGCGGAATTCAAATAATCAATCTGATACAGGCATTTAATTTTAATACGCAATCAATTTTAATTTCCCAATGTTCGATTTTAATTTCCACAGAGTTAAAAAAAAATATATAAATAAATTATGAAGGTAATATAAAAGAACTTAAATTTGAATTTATCGATTTCTAACCAATTTCATTCGGTCTGTAATCAAAAATCAAATCAACAGAATACTAAATTGAATTGGAGCCAGCAAAAAAACATGATTAAATTACAAAAATTCCACACAAATCCAAAGGGAGCTTTATAGATACCACCAAATCTATGATCTTATCAATGTAATTTATACAGCAACTCAGGTAATAATAAAATTTAATATATTTCAACTATAAACTATAAAAGAAATTTTGTGACAGCTGCAATATTTTTTACCATTGCTGTTTTTAAATGCAAAAAAAAGTTGAGTGCGATTCAAACAGCTTAACCAACACTAGCAGCAAACAAAGCTCGCATAATTTTCATTTGATATTATTTTTATATTTTTTTGTTAAAGTTAAAAATTGCAGACTCACCTTTAAAAGCTGACTGCCTTCGTTCGAGTTGTATGGACTTCTGCATGTGTATGGATGTGTGTGTGTATGTGTGTGTGGTTGTATGTGTGTATATGTGGAGCGATTGCTGCTGCTGCTAGAAGATGTTGCTGTTGTTGTTGTTATTGCTGTTGTTGTTGTTGTTGTTGTGCATCCTGGCGGCCATTTTGTACACATTGAGCAGCTGAGGCACTAAGTTCTCTAATTGCTATAAATTCACATCTTTATTGTTGTCGGATTGTTGGAATTCGATTTGAAGTAACGGGTTTTAATCAAACACTTTTGCTGCATTGTATTCCTTTATTTGATTTTGGTTTTTGTATTTATTTTTCTTTTTTTTATTATTACAGTTTTATTGATTTACTAACGCTTTTTATATTTTTGGGTGAGCTATAAATCAAGTTTTTCTCAAAGCTTTTTGAAAGGCCCCCACGCACAAAAAAAGAAGGCAACGGCAAATACTAGAGTTGAGAAATGAAACAAATAGAAAAACACAAATTAAAGTGTAATGTGTAAAAAAGCAGTTAAACCACTTGGCTTAAGCTCTCTGTTGTTGTTGTTCCTTTTGTTGTTGTTGTCTTTTTTTCTGTCTTTCTGCTTTGGCTGCTGCTTCTTCTACTCAAGTTTTTGTTGTTATATATTTTGGTGTTTTTTATTTTTTTTTTTAGCCAACAAACAGCTGAAAAACAGCATCAGAGACACTGGCGAACCTTTTGAGAGCCGGTTTCAAGCAAACGCAGGCAAAAGGAAAAAAAAAACAAAACCGAAACAAGTTGCAAAAAACGGCAACGTTTAGTTGCAAATGACGTCGTGTCGTCGCAGACACCAGCAGTAACAGCAGCAGTCGCAGCAGCAGCACCAGCAGCTGATTAGTTGAGAACTTGTGCAAAGGACCTGCAACCGGGCTCTAAAAGCGTCGCCTATATGTCAACTTATGTAAAGCTTCACGCAAGTACTAAGCAGCCGCAGTCACTGCCACAGCCGCAGCAGTAACAGTAGCACTGACTGCGACAGAGACAGCGGCGGCAGCAGCAGAAGTAGCAGCAGCCGCAGCAGCAGCGACAGTGGCTGCAAAAAATAACAAGCACAAACTTTTCACTAAATTAACCGATACTCTAATACCCTATATGTAATGCCATAGCAGCCAAACAATTCAGTTATTTTGATATAACAATAATCTGTGTAAGCTAAAAGGAAAAAATTCCATATTTCTAAGTTGGGCTCATTATTTTCTGAGATTTAGGTACTTTATTTACATAAATAAATAAATGTGTATACAAAAATTGAAGGCTCTCTCTCAGGAAAAGCAATATACCCCTTTACACGTTTGGGGAATAGTGAAGAAAAATTGTTTTCCGGCATGTGTTACAGCACATACTGCGTGCGAGAGAGATGGCAGCAATGCAATTTGCAGTAATAGCCATACATGTCAGCGTCTGTATGCGTGTGTGCGCATGTGTGAGTGTGTGTGTGTTTTTGTATTGGCGCCTGCGCTGCGGCTGCACAGCTGAGAAGCTTCTGCTGCGCTGTTGCTAGGGGCCCGACTGCAAAAGCTCAGCTGTTTTGTGGAATTACTGTGGAAGGGGATGCGGCGAGTAGGGGCAGCTGCTGCCTGGCTGCCTGGAATTTCTATTTGGCCTGGCAACGCAGAAGTAACGGCTTTCCGATTGATTGCAGCAAATCAAGATATACATATGTAAATTGCGAGCGCATTGGAAACAGGTTCCCAATGCAACTAAAGTGCGCTATTAATCAAAGTCTGCTTCTTTTTTTTGGTTTTTTTTTAGCTTGCATTTAAAAAGACCTTGCAAAGGATGCACACAGAATATATCAAACAGTTTTGCACTTAATATTGCAAAAAATTGTTCTCTGCTTGGCGATTCTCTCTCTGTCACTTGCTGTGCTCTCTCTCGCTCTCTTCCTGCCTCTCTGGCTCTCCCCCACCCGCTCACATGCCATACAGTGCAAAACCTGTTTTATTGTTTAAGAATTTTCGCCGCCCGCCTGCCACATTGAGTAGAACACTTGCCACCAAAATAAAAAAAAAAATGTTCCGTTTCACAACTTCTTTTTTTTGTGTTTGTTTTTAGTTGTTCGCTTTTGGTTTGCCGCTACCGTTTGGGCTGCTGCTGCTATTGTTGTTGTTTTTGCTGTTCTGTTACTGTTGTTCTTGTTGTTTTTGCTGCTGTTACTTTTGTATAATTCAACGACACGCGACTACACCTACACACCTACACAAACAGATTCACACACACGCACGCACGCACGACTTACACACATAAAGAGCGCGCGCGCTCGCTCGCTCGCTCGCACACACTCACACAAAACCGAAATGGAAAAAGACAAGAGAGACGACGGCGGTCTCCACGTCCGCGCGCAACGATGAGAAAAAACGAACTGAACGCTGAACAAACTCACTCGAAACCGTTGGCGCTGCCAGCTCATTCGCATTGGCAACATGTTGGGGCCATTTCCACCAAACTACAAAACTACAGCGAACAGAAAACGGCTAAAAAAAAAATAATCAGTCGCTCATTTGAGCTGGGCTTCCTATGTGTATTACACACATATCTACTTGATTAATAATTAATTTTATTTCTTATATTTTATTCACTCCTCAACTTTTAAATTGTTTCAGTAACTCTTATAGCAGCCCTCTTGCAAATGCATTTGCTGTCTGCGATTGCACAATGCAACTGAAACTGTGCTTTATTCGCACAGTGCACTCCAAACTGTATGGGAACACATTAGCCTGAGCGGCAATGTGTGTTAATGTTGTTGCCACTGCAGATATATGTTGCAATTGTTGTTATTGTTTTTTCGCACTGCACATACATTATGTGTTTGTTAATTAGCACAGACGTATTACTGCATGCGAAACTCGTGAAATGTTTGCCTAATGCTAAAACCGTCAAATGCACTCAATGATGGTGTCCAGACTAAATGTGGTTGTGTGAACTTGCTTGCAATAACATAATCAGCTTAACAGATCGGTAACAGTTTCGTTAAGTGAGTAACATACGATATACCGTCAAAACAATAAAAATTTTAAAATTTTCATTGAGATAATTTACCATTTAATTTACATGAGCATAAAACAATATGAACCACAAAACATTTGTTAGAATTAATAGCTAATTAAGACAAAATATGTGTATAGCTAATTAAGATAAGACGAAAAGGCGGATAAACATAAAGCACTTGTTAACAATTGCTTAGGGATACGTGAATGCATAAATATAATATAATATATATATATATATATATGTATATATTAATATATTTGTATATACAGAAGGACGACAGTGGGTCCATGTTAACAGTTTTCATAGCATATATATATGTATGTATGTATATATGTGTGTAAGTACTACAGTTAATCGTAATCGTAAATTCAAATACAAGCTCCAATTGTAAGTTAATAAATACATATTTAGTAATGATATAATATCCAAGTATATATATATGTATATATAGGTGATATATCCCTTGCTCAGCTTGGGCATATTTTTGGATATATAAGATGCTTTTTTCTTTACTGCTTTCTGCTATTTGCTACTCTGATTGCATTCTACAAGAAAATGAAAAAACAACTTTTGTGTCACAGAGTTCTTAACAATAAATAGATAATTCCGATTTGGCCATATCTATTCAAAAACGTATGTACAATATGAATAAATTGTTAACAGTTGTGAAATGTGTATGCGATAAGCGAGTTTCCCCGATCATCTGACAATAATATTGAATTTCTTAAATTAAAAATGGAGAATTTTTCAACAACCAATTCAAAATGAAGTCAAATTAAACAATTGTCAGTTGGGGAACACAAACGTAATACTTAAATATATATAAAATATGCTTATGAAATTTACAAAATAGCCTATTTACGCGAAACGACTGACAAATTATGGATGCAATGCGTTTGCAGTTCGAACTCTGTTTCACAGTTTAACAATTGTAAATTGAGAAAGTGATGGAAATAAACAAACTTGTTGTGCATATTGGAGGTACTTTTGATGGGGAAGGGTAGGATTTGATTGGTCATTCATTCGAGCCGATCTCTGGCGGACTCTACGCCGACAGGCGCAGCTTGGCCAGGGCCATCGTGGTGCTGTTCCTCTGCATGACGTCACGCATGCGCTCCCGCAGATATTCACAGATGGAGGTGTAGTTCTCGTGGTGGGCCAGCTCCATTGCAGTCAGGCCGTCCTGATTCTTGAGCAGCACATCGCTGCCGGCGGCCACCAGCTGCTTGCAGACAGTCATGTGACCAAACATGGCCGATGCATGCAGCGCCGACTCGCCGTTGGGCAGCTTACCCAAATTGGGGCGATACTTGAGTAGCACGGTCACAACGGAGGCATGCCCCTTGTGGGCGGCCTTAAACAGAGGCGTGGCGCCATCACAACGCACCGTGTCGATATTGGCGCCATTCTGCAGCAGCACCTTGCAGATGTGATCGTGCCCCATCTGGGCAGCTATCCACAGCGGCGTGGCACCATCGATCCGCTTGATGTCCATAGATGCGTGCGCCAGGATCAGCAGCGACAGCACAGTCCGATGCCCATTCTGAGCCGCAATAAAAGCGGGCGTGGCCCGATCCTGTAAATGACCACAAATAAATACATTAAATTAAAAAAACAAAATTGAATTTGTTGCCTGGAAATTAACCTTCATGCTGGCATTCACATCGGCGCCGCAGTCCAACAGTTCTCTGATAATCTTCACATGCCCGCCCTGGGCGGCCACAAAGAGGGGCGTGCCCCCGTCCAGAGAGGGCGTGTCCACTTTGGCGCGCGCCTTCAGCAATATTCGCACCACATCCAAATGGCCGCCCTGGGCGGCAAAGAAGAGGGCCGTGGTGCCCGTCGAGCGGCGGGCATTCAAATCAGCGCCCTGCTCCAGCAGCTCCAGCACGCAATGGATGTGTCCGCCAGCTGCCGCCAGAATAAGGGGCGTGGTGCCGTCCTAAAAATTGAATCGAAATTTAATTAAGCAATTATTAACTACTAAATAAGCAACTATTTATTATTAAACTATATATAAAAACTAAAAACTATATTCCATAATTGTCAAGTTTTGATTCAATAATAATTGCCCTAATTAAAGAAACTTATTCAACAAAAAAAACTATATATTTTGAGGCATGTATATAAATATATTTTTTATTTATTTATTTATTTAATGTGCACTAAAAACCGTACACAATTTGTAAAAAAGTTGTTAAAAAATAAAAAATGCAATATATTGAAATTAAAGTAACATAATCATAAGATAAATATTAAAGTAACATAATAATTTAGAATTAAAATTTCTCCTATATTATATTAAAGAAACATATTAATTGAAAATTAAAATTTTATTAAAATCCCTCACTTATCCATCGCGAACAAATTATAATTCTTTAGGTCTAAATATCTCTATATATATATATTTTAAATGTACTTTCAACTTTTCAAAATTGTTTATTTTTTGTAAATACTCTTTTCTTATAAATGATACGCTTTACACCAAATTATTACATATTGCACAATTAGCAACAACAATTATGACATAAATATAAAAGCATAAATCTTCCAAGCGTAAATTCACTCGTAAATGTGTATTACAAAAGAGCAAATGAACAAAACGAAAAATAAATAAATAAAATGCAATTACAAGTTAAAGACAACTTAACACTTTGTTCACAAAAGTACGCACCGATTGGCAACGATGCCAGAATGTGCAGCCAAAGCGAAACACGTACAGCAAAAAGCAAAAAAAAAAAAAACAAAACAAAATCGAAAAAGAAACGAAAAATTTAACGGAATTAAACTGAAATTAAATTTCACTTGGGGAGCAGCTGTACACAAATACCGGTGCATCGCCGCTGCTGGCCATATGCTCAACACACACACAGACACACATACAAGGGCAGAGAACTGACTGTCAGCCAGCTACGTGACTGTGTCACACCTCCTCCTCCTCCTCCAAAACAGCACACTTTTGGGGGTGGGAGCCGCTGCAGTTTACATTTCGCCAGAGATTTGCGATTTTCGCTCCGATTTCGCTCGACTGCATGCAAATCAAGCAAACACGAAACGAAATGAAATGAAACGAAACGAAACTAAACGAAACCAAACAATTAATTATAATTCAGCTGTGACTGGTGAAAACAACAAATCGTAATTGCCGTTAAATTCATTCAACGCTCAATTAAACAATTCAAGCGGCTTGCGAACGTTTGATTATTTGATTAAACCAGTTAAGATAATGATACAGCACTTTTCAAATAATAAACTACTGTTTGTTAAACAAATCCCAGCTATCCTATAAATATTTTACACATATTTCTTATCATAATTTAAATTGATTTTGAAATTTTATTTGTTCTTTAATGTAATATATTTTTGTATATTTTTTTTGTTTTGTGACGACTGACTTCAGTTTCCAATCATTCATTTCAGTTCAGCTGCCAGCTTTTCATTTGCAATAAAACATTAAACATTTTCTTATCAATTCGTTTCCAATCTTTAATTTCTGCTTCCAGCTTCCACCTTCTCCAGCTTCTCTTTATTCCATTGAACTAATTTAAGATATCTAAACTCTTAGCTGATAGCAAATCGAGGTTTTCAACTAGATAATTAATCAAAAAAACCTCAGCTATATATTATAGATAGCAGCTGTTATCGGTTTTAAATAAACAATTAAATCACGTATGGATTATATCGCATCACTCACCTCATCTTTGCAGTCCACATGCACCTTGCCGCTGTCGAGCACACGTTGCAGCTCGACAACATCGCCACGCAACGCTGCCAGATGCAACATCACATCGGAGGGCGTTTCCTTCTGCAAAAACAAAAACAAAACAACAACAACAAATAACAAATGTTAACAAATGATTTAACAAATGCAACTTTGGCAGCTGTCAAAAAAAGAGCGGCGCCGCCTGATGAATAGCTCCCCACAGTTCAGTTGGCAACCTGAACACCCAACAAACAACCTGACACAACCCACACAGAGCATTTTGTTTGGCTGGCGGGCGCCACTCTTAAGTAACATTAATGAAGGGAATTAGTTTTCACTCGCAAATGTTGCAGTAATTAGTGGCACAGAGTGGCAGAGCACACAGCACACACAGCGGAGACCGACAAAAACTGAAACTTGAACAGCGGATGTGAGTGCATTTTTACAATGCTTTGGGGACGCATCGACATCGGACGATTTATGTGTGAATGTTAACCCGTAAGTGGACAACTCAGCATTGTCTACCTTAACCAAAAGTGTTACACACGTTGGAAGACCTACATTTTGATGTAAATAATTGTTTAGACAAGTGTAGAAACAAATTAAGCCAATACGCATAAAAGGCAATTCAATTTAGAACATTTACGTATAAACAAAAGATACTCAGCTTAAATGTTATTTCCAATTTTTGATAGATCATTAATAATTGGAGAACCACATGAAAATGAAAACAAAATAAATAAACAATTAAGAATGAATCGAGTGAGCTCGACTACGAGATACCTTCAACCCAGCTATTAACTATATTCAACACTTAATTGCCAAATTTACCTTTAAAAACTTTTGCATACCCAAATGTAGGCAGGTGCGGAAGTGTTCTTATTTCTTATGGTACTGAAGAGTACAAAAATCAATATGAGACTACAACTTGGGTGTTTGTAATTCAATATTGAAAAAATATATTTGTATATCAATAATATATGTGTAAATCAGCAGTATATATATTACATAATAACTGGAAGGCTATATGCTTAAAATTGTGTATTTATTGTCTTCAATACAATTAAATAAACTTGATATTAGAGAACTTGAATTGCATATTTATTGCATAGGTCTATAGCTGCTGTAGTCGCTGAGATCGGCGAGTGCATACAGAGAATCCTGGTATGATCCAGAAGATATATGCCTTATGATCCAGATGATCCAGAATATATATGCCTTATGGGTTCGGAGATTTTTCCTACTGCCAACTTTAATAAAATCTTTTTACACATTCTGAATGGGTTCAGGGTAAAAAAAGAAGTATTTTATACACATTTTAGGAATGTGCTCACTTTAGCCCGGTTGGACAATTGAGGATTAAGGCACAATCAACTGCTGCTGCGCTAACGATGGGGTCAGCATGGTGCAAACAAAAAGCACTCAGAGGAAATACGAGCACAATAAATATTTGAACTATTTCCAGAGATGGAGGAGCAGAAGCATTTGAAGAAGAAGAAGACTGTCAACTCTCGTGAGTTAATGAAGCGGATTAAGTGAGTGCAAAGCCACCTGTTGAAAGGTAATAGCAGATAAGCCATATACACAATAAACCCCCCTCTCTCTCTGTCGCTCTCCGCAGAGACAAGTTGTTGCACATGACATCACTCAAGTTGCCGCTGACATAATAATGATCATGACGATGATGATGCTGCTGCTGCTTCTGCTGCTGATGATGATGACTAAAATATTTATAGACAAACTGAAATGTCAGCAGGTGAGAGGCACTTGTGGGGCTACAGACAATCGTTAGACGAGGCTTGCAACAGGCAAGGCTTGTGTGCCACTATTGTGTGGCAAGTGTGTCTCTTGACTTGATATTTCACCATTGGTTTCAATAACCAAGTGTTCACTTTATCAGCCTTGTCTCTGCCAAGAATAAATGGCAACAAGCGCAAAGAGCGATAAACAACATCTTTAAAGAGTGCAAAATAATGAATAAATGTTAAATGTTTATTTGTTTAGCCAAGTTAATAGCGGTCATAGTCATTTAACTGACTAAACTAGACTAAGTAAATTAATAAAACGCTGATAAATGTTAGACAGCTTCTTGGGCAGCTCATAGAATGAAAAGTGAGTAAAGATTAGAACAAAAACTAAAACCAAATATTTCAAATATATTTATGAAGGTAAAATTAAATAATTTATATTGTTTTATTTATTACAGTCAGCAGCTATTAAACTAATATAAAATTATAAGTTAGAAATTAAACTAAATATAAAAAGAGAAATAAATTTATTTATATAAAAACAAAATCCAACTATTTATTGCAAAGCATTGTGGAAACTCTGGCGATTGTCTATTAAGTTAATATAGATGACTGTCATAGAAAACTTGATCGATTGTTTCTTGAGTTTGGATAGTGGTCCACTGTACGCAAGACAAGCTGCCAAATATGGTTAGGTGACTTTATTTAATATGGGTCAGACTCACCTTTAGTGACATGATTTGATTGCTTAGCTCTCCACTGTCTCCGCTCGGCTCTTGTGGCACTTGTTTTGGTGGCAGTTGCAGTTGCACCTGCTTACAAGCCCGTTACCATTGACCGATTTAGCTACGGCTTCAGCTTCAGCTTCAACTTCAACTTCTAGTAACAGTAATAGCGCGACAACAACAATGGTAACAGTAACTACAACAACGGGGCAAGTGGCACCAATCAAATAACAACAGCAACAACAACAGCAACAGTAACAACAAAGATCATCATCGAGGAACCAACGATTCGACCAGTTCCAATGAGTATCCCAGTCCAAGTGCTGTAAAATAAAATGCAAGTCAACTCACGGACCACATCAAAATTAAGTTGCACAGACAGCTCCGATTGCGGGCAGGGTGCTTGGGGTGCTTTGCCCCGGATCGACAGGTTTCCCCAGCAACTGCCCGATTAGAATGCAAAAAAAAACAAAAAAAAACAAGAAAAGAAAAAGTTGCCATCCAATTGCCAATTGTTGATTCGCATCATTTGATGGTGTTGAGAATGAAAGGATAGAATTAAGCTAGATCCTTGGCCAGCAAATACAGTTGGTATCTGTTGTTGGTATATCTGTGAAGTTGGCTCAAATCGGCTATATCATTTTGTACATAATAATACACATTTGTGTTAAGTCAACTTTCCTTTCATGCACAAGCTCTGCAATTATCTTTAATGTCATGCAATTTGATTCTAATTTTGCATGTTGTTGCCAATCATTATTTTTTTTTATAATTTGTATATTGACGTTGCACCGCCCCCGCAATTGACAGGTGGGCGTGGCTATGGAGGTGGAGGGGAGCATTGCCTTTACTGTGTTGGGTTGCTTTGATAATTGCATTTCATGCAACAACTTTTAGTTTGAATTTGATTTGTTTTTTCCTTTTTAAGTATCTCTTTCGTCTTTATAATTTTTTACGAGCATCATCATCAGCAGCATTAGGGTTCGCTGGGCTGACTGGCTGCCTTTCAACTTTTGACCTAGAAAGTGCTTCACTTCAAGTTTTCTACATGTGCTTCTGGCGTCATCAACAACATGCCGCACAGCAGGGGCAAACATTTTGGTGCTGTCATCACAGTTTCTAGACACATTTCTTATGTATTTTGTTTGTTGGGGAACTTTAAGCGCATCTTAATTGCTTTTCAGTTAGTTTTCTTTTCATATCAAATGCATATTTGTGTATTAACAAACTCGTTTGGTTCACTTAAAGGGTGCTTACTCCTAATCTACTGAATAGTTATTCTAGGTCAAGTAACTGATATAAATATCTATCAATACGCTTTTGATAGGAAAACTATTTCGTTGTTTTTTTTACCATTTAACAATTGTAAATTCAATAATGCCATTTCGCAATTACATGCTATCAATTTCAAAGTCGTTAATTTTATGTTTATTTGCCCTTTCATCACTCGGTCAACATCATCAATAATAACCATTTACTGCCTAATTACACACAAGCGTATAATAATAATAAAAAAAAAACACTATGCCACCTGATAGTTTTTTCTATTATAAATAAAAAGAAAATAGGCTTATTCAATTTTTGCATCTTCATTTTAAGGGCAAAATCATTTTCATTTCAACAATTGGTTTCACTTTCATTTCTGTTCATAATGCCTGGGGACCATCTAGTTGTTATTTGCAGATGCTTTTTTTGTTATGGGATTTTGTTCAACGTTTAAAAATAGTATCACACTCAACAAATGATCTCATTTTTAGCGCATAAATTTACATTTTCAATTTAATATAATATGCAAATTTACATATACACACACACACACATACACATACACGCTTAAGGTCAAGAGGCTGTGAGCCGGTCTATTCTAAGGTATGTTCAAGAAATTTACGACTGCAACGTACAAGTCAAGAAAACACGCCGCAACACTTTTGGCCGAGTAACTAGCGTGTGGCAACCGAACGCGATAAAAGTTAAGAGACGACTGAGAAGCCAGAGAAACAGCCAAATGCTTAACAGCAGAACCTGCTTAGCTTTGATATTTATGGATCTTGAGCCATTAACCTCTTAATATCAAGCAAAATATAAGTGTTTATGTGCTCGATTAAGCTTTATTTAATTGAGTTTCCAATTAAACGGTTTAAGAATGCACAAAAAAATCAAAAATTAACGGAAAGGAATTCAATTTGCAGATCGAGCATAGAGTTCATGTTAAACTCAAAATGGTAATGTTATGTGACTGTTAAGTCCCACTGATCGTGTTTTGAATTTAGAATCTGAATGAAGAATCAAATATTTTTGTTTCGATTTTACAAATTTTAAGTTTGGTAATTAGTATGTTGACACTATTACTTGACTTCATAAATAATAACTTAATAAATTCCACTAAAAATTATTTCATTTTATCATTTTATTTTATTCATTTTATCGTTTTTTATACATTTCAACGACTCCAAATAACGGCACAAGTGTTAAAAACTCATTTCGCTCACTTCACATGTGAACAGTTAATATAAAGTCAGTCAGACGCGTTAATTCCTATTAAAAACAAACACACGCCCACCTCACGTACTTAAAAATACACACACAGTTGGCAAAATTTGAAGAAGAAAAACCCTGCGGAAGTCCCATAGACGCAAAATCAACGTTGACACCGGATCAAGGACGTCGACGCCAGACTGTCCAAAATCAATACTCACATGCAAAGTAACTATAAGGGCTCGTTCACAGATATGTAATTTATAATGCGCACGAACTTTTGATTTTTGGATCTATATATCCAATGGATGTTGGACTACAAGCTAACAGCTACCGACTTTGCGATGGGCACTAAGGCCGTGAAAGCTCCGGCGCCAATTTTGATGCAATGCAGCACTACTCTTCACATTGCCAAACGACTAATAAATATTTATGAACGGCAGCTAAGCAATCGATACACTCGATAGCACCGATGCATTTTGCAGCAACAAGCGACATATTAATTTTTTACTGAATTTATTTATTTAAAAAATTGCTGTTAAGCTTTTCTAAATTGTTATTTATTTATTAAATTATTATAAATATTATTAATTATGAAATATTAATTAATCAAACTGAAATTAATGCTGCAGTTGCGGAAAATTTAGGAAAGCTTAAGCAAATGAATAACTGAGCAGATGACACTACACTTTATATTGTTTAATATCATTGCATTATTTCCAAATAGCTAAATATAATTTTAAATTTGTAATTAAAATTGTTTTGTAGATTCTCGAAAATAAATTAACAAAATAAATATTGCCAGATCTTATTTTGTTGATTTATCGATATTTCGTAAGAGCAACCCTACAGCGCAGCCAACTTCACTCTTTCTCTTTTCAGCCTCCATCGACGAGTGTTGGGTCGCAAATTTGTAAAATTATTACAAAATGTAAGTAAAATTCGATTATTCGGTTAAAAAAGTGCATAAAATACTAATAAAATGGTACACCTTGCATTGCAGCATAATGGAGAACGACGCCGGTGAGAATGTTGATTTGTACGTGCCCCGCAAATGGTGAGTGTAGAATGAACACGTGTTTCGCCCGCGGCGGCTGTAGCTCTTTTTGTCCAATTGGATAACTGTTTTTGTTGTTGTTATGTTTTGCTTCCAGCTCGGCATCAAACAGAATCATCCACGCCAAGGATCACGCCTCCGTGCAATTGAGCATTGTTGTTGTGGATCCCGAGACCGGCCGCCAAACCGATGGCACCAAAACCTATGCCATCTGTGGTGAGATCCGTCGCATGGGCGAGTCCGACGATTGCATTGTGCGTCTGGCCAAGAAGGATGGCCTCATTACCAAGTGAGTGTCTAGAATTGTCTAGAAATCCCCTAAAACGGCATATGACTAACTGCTTGTTGTTATTGTTTTGCAGGAACTTTTAAATAATGTACACACAAGAACATGAATTGGTAATAAAGTGAATTCCTTTTGTATTTAACGTAAGGCCCACGTAATTTATGTTTTGTTTTAAACTGGAATAAATAATGGCCTAGTAACTGTTGTCCTTCAAAGTGGAATTAAACTGACTGCAGTTCTGTTGAATTTTCCGGCTGAGGATAATTCTTCAAAGGTGATGATCAATACAGGAACAGCATTTTCAGAAGCTCGCAATTCACGATTTGAAAAATGAATTTGGATTGGAATCAAGATTCTGCCAAAGCAGATTCTCAAGACATGCTAAAATATTAGGGAATTATGCGACAGCGAGTGAAGAAATATGACTGTTTGTGATGCTGAGTTAGAGCATTAACTATGACCACTAAGCAGATAATATATAGATGCATAAAAATGGACTAAAAACGGACTGCAAAATAGTCTGGACCTGGGTCTGTAAATTGATATAAACATCTGTTTCTAAAATTTTTGCTACACACATTTGGGTTACAATATTCGACCGTCCAAATGTTAAACTTTGCCATCATGGTTTTAACCTGAATCTCAGCTGGACGAAGAAGACATCAATTCCGAAAGTATCAGGATATCCCAAGACTCAATTAAATTACATTGCATATCTGCAAATGAACTTTGTTTGGCTTTGAGCAACCAATTAATTGCATATTTTCAAATTATTTAATTGGTTTTAAAGTTTTAATGATTTCACAAGTAGTAAGTTTACGTTGCAGCCAGTTTTTAACCTTTTTTTATAAATGCGTTGCTCTTCTAAGGTTCTCCTTTCCTTAGTCCCGTTTTGCCCGCCTTTCGTGGTATGAGCAGGGTACGCTAACAATCTTATCGATATATAGCAAGCAGTGTTGCCACCATGTACGACAGTGGTACAATTTCAGTGTTAAGCAACAGCAGAAATAAACCAACGACGCACGTGTTTCTGCAAACGTTTTAATATTAACTCTGCCCCTCAGTGAAGCACACAGGCCGAGAGGTTGCATTTAAGTTTTTGACGAAATCTACACAGAAAAAAGATAACAAAAATCACCAAAATGGTAAGTGTGCATGCAAAACTAGCAGTAAATATTTTTTGAATTATAAACACCTTTGTTTTTGGCAGACCGAGGAAGTGAATCCCAAAGCATTCCCACTGGCCGATGCCCAATTGACCGCCAAGATAATGAATCTGCTGCAGCAGGCCCTCAACTACAACCAGCTGCGCAAGGGAGCCAACGAGGCAACCAAGACACTGAATCGCGGCTTGGCTGATATTGTTGTCCTGGCTGGCGATACGGAGCCCATCGAGATTCTGTTGCACTTGCCGCTGCTGTGCGAGGACAAGAATGTGCCGTATGTGTTTGTGCGTTCCAAGCAGGCATTGGGACGTGCCTGCGGCGTGTCCAGGCCCATTGTGGCCTGCTCTGTGACCACCAACGAGGGTAGTCAGCTGAAATCGCAGATTACCTCCATACAGCAAGAAATTGAAAGGCTGTTAGTTTAAGTTGAGAGGCGACTCTCGAAATCCGTACAAATATGTAAACTGTAATATTAATAAAAAAAAAAATAGTGTATTTTTTGTAATACATATTCCCATATAATATAGGCATTCGTTTTAATTTGTTTATTAATAATTGTTGGTACAATATCGGTGATACCATGAAGTGTTCGATAGACGAGCACATGATTTTTCTAAACAGTCGCTGTCCAACACTGTTGATCAGCTGTTCTAAGATGTCAAAAAGTTTGCCGTGTGGAATTTGGCAATTTTCGTAGACATTTTGATTTAATAGCTGCGGCGAGCCCAACAACAACAACTACCGAAAATGCTGAACAATTCGCTTGACCTAAGGAAACATCTAATTCAATGCAAGTGACAAAAAGCATACAAAAGCAAAAAACACAAAGCACGCAACGCCAACGCAAGCAACAACAACACAAAAATTAAACGTCTGGCGACAGCTGCAAGATGAAGTTGCTCGGCAAATACGTGGACAAGGGTATGCAGGGGTGAGTGCAACTACAACAAGTCAACACTTTCGCCACATTCTAATTCCTCATCTTGCACACACACAGCAATGTGACCCTCATGCCGGAGGAGTCGGAAGACATGTGGCACGCCTACAATCTAATTGCCGAGGGCGACAGCGTTCGTAGCACCACCATACGCAAAGTGCAGAATGAAACGGCCACCGGGTCGTCAACGAGCAGCCGAGTCCGCACCACGCTCACCATTGCCGTGGAGTCGATCGACTTTGATACGCAGGCGTGTGTGCTGCGTTTGAAGGGGCGCAACATCGAGGAGAATCAATATGTCAAAATGGGTGCCTATCACACGCTCGACCTGGAGCTGAATCGCAAATTCGAGCTGCGCAAACCCGAATGGGATACCATTGCGCTGGAGCGCATCGAAATGGCGTGCGATCCCACGCAATCGGCAGATGTGGCCGCTGTCGTCATGCAGGAGGGTCTGGCGAATGTGTGCCTTATTACGGCCAGCATGACGCTTGTGCGCAGCAAAATCGAGGTGTCCATACCGCGGAAACGCAAGGGCAACGTCCAGCAGCACGAGAAGGGTCTGGCCAAGTTTTACGAGCAGGTCATGCAGAGCATATTGCGTCACGTCAATTTCGACGTGGTCAAGTGTGTGCTTATTGCCTCGCCGGGCTTTGTGCGCGATCAGTTCTACGACTATATGTTCCAGCAAGCCGTCAAAATGGACTACAAAGTCCTGCTGGACAACAAGAGCCGATTCATGCTGGTTCATGCATCCTCCGGCTTCAAGCATTCGCTGAAAGGTGTGTAGCACTCGATGGTGTCCGTTCAATTTGAAATTCAATTATTAAATTTATATTTTGCAGAGGTGCTGCAAGATCCCGCTGTTGTTGCCAAAATGTCCGACACAAAAGCGGCAGGCGAGGTGAAAGTCCTAGAACAGTTCTACATGATGCTGCAATGTGAACCAACAAAGGCCTTCTATGGTAAGAAGCATGTCCTGGCCGCCGCCGAGGCGCAATCTATAGAAATTTTGCTCATTTCGGACAATCTATTCAGGTGAGTGATTCAAATCAGTTGAGCAGAGTTGATAGGGAGATAAATGAATATATTATGTTATATATATTTAAACTCGTTATACAAAATCTTGAACAGAAGTTTTATTTATTTGATTACTGCTAACTGACTCCTTTACTCCTCTCCATTACTATTTTTACGCTCCTCGTCCAAACGTAATTTAGTTTAAATATGCAACAAATATTTTATTTATATGTATTACATTTTATTATATCACATTATTTGTGTCATTCGTTATTATATAAGATCTAATTGACATGTTTCGTGATATTATTTCACATTTTGTATTGGACAACAGTTAATTGAATATTATTTTATAATTGTGCAAATGCAAAAACACTTTAAATAAAGCTCTTATTTTAGATATCGCATGTAAATATTCACTAGCTCAAATTTAAACTGTTGTAGATCGTCAAAATTTAAATCAAGCAGAAATTCATTTTAAATTTAAATGTTTTGTTTTATATTTAAATACCCATTACACAGGTTCTGCCTGTTAAATTCTTGGGAACGGATTTTGTTGAATCTTTGCTTTTTATACACGATACATTTTCTAATAGCTACCCCAACAATTTGTGCCTCTTATCAAAGCTACCACAGAAGTGTATCTGCTGCTATCTTTACAGCTTGTGTAGATTTTATATAACACAATAAATTAGCCAGCTCGTTTCACTGTAACCTTATCAACTATTCAACCCTTATACATATTCATAAAAAAGATCATTTCGCGTTTAATCAAGCAGAAAGATCAAGAGCACTTCCATTGACAAGCCCACAGCGCCAAACCTTCAACTTTCAAAGTTTTGCTTTTATTTGCCATATGCAGCAGTTTATGATGCGCTACATCAGATTTAAGCGACTTGTTAGGGTATTCATTTAAAGTGCTGTCAGAAACGATAATTTCGAGAAAATAGTAGCACTTAGGAGCCGATACATTCATTACTCATATTCATATTTAAACTATATATATATATATATATATATATATTACTCATATTGAGAGTATAATATATACTGGGCGATTTTATCATTGATCTGTTTCATCAGCATGTCACAGCTGAATAACTGATCGGCAAGTAAAGTGATCGTTTGAATAATAACTAGATAAATATAAAATGCTGTTACGATTGTTTAAGCAACCAAACAACGTTTGCCTTAATAAGATGAGTAAGCGGTCGAATTTCATCAAGAAATCACACTATGATAATTATAATATAAGACAATCTTTTTTGTGTCGCATTAATTCGCTTCGATTCGACTTTCATTTAACTGACATATAACTAAATTAAATCTATAGCGGAGAAAGAACTAATTTAGTATAGATTCAAGATCATATTTGCAGCATATCACATTTTTGACTTTCACATTCATTTAACTGACCTATAATTAAATTAAGTCTATAGCTTGGTTAGATAAAGAACTGCTACCCTTATTATTATTATTAAATACAGCAAAATTGATGTCATAAACTGAGCAATCTGGCTTAAATGGGGTTTATACCATGGCTAAGGTAAAGAACTAATTTAGTATAGATTCAATTACTGTGATTTTCATACCTTTTTGTAGCGTATTCAATTCGTCTTCCACATCCATTTGTCGGAGCTCAGTCGCTTTCCAGATCTTGCGTCGTCTGGCTTTCAACTTGAGCGCAATTTAGCCATTTAAAGAGAACACGTCCGAAAACGCTAATTTGATGTGCCGCCACCCCACCGAGCCGCGCCCCTTTTGCGCCCCGTTGTGCTCATGATCAAGGTTGGCCGCCCGCAAAGTCGTCGCCATTTTTGGCTCTTTTTCTTTTTTTTTTTGTTTATTAGTGCTTTTGTGCGTTTTGTTTACGTTTTGCGTGTTTTGGAATATCTGGATCTGAAAAGTGCCCCTCGACACAGCCATAGCCATAGCTCGTATACATTTTTTAATTAGCCGTTAAAATTCCATTTAACCGAGTAGAAAAATAAAATATTTGCGTGGCATGCAATTAAATTAAGTGTTATTGCTTTTGATTTACTTAGAATTATCGCTTAGAAGTCTATGCAAAAATGTATTTATTCTCTTATTGTTGTTGGTAAATTTAGCACGTTTAATCAGTCCCGTATTATTATTATTATTATTAGTATTGTAGATCAGCCGTATACTAGCCGTATACTCCTCCTCCTCATTAGAAACTATTCAAGTCGCATGTCACCATCGTCGTCGTTCCTTGTGCTTTATCTCGACATTTTTGATTGTTGCTGTTGATTGTTGATTGTTGCGCAAATTGATAAACGAAACGAAAAGAGCAGAGTTAAAAATAGGCCCTTGACTTGATAACAATTTACAATTTATGATTTTTGTCTTACTCTCTGCTGATGTTGTTGTTGTGTTTGTCTCGCTGCTGTTGCTGCTCGTTCCGTAGATTCTTCCGTCTCTTCTGCTGCGCCAGCACATCAACCGATTCTCTGCGCTGACTTGCAACACAATTTGCCACTTTGGCATTCTGCTCGCTCAGCAGCCGCCTGTTGTAATCATCCAAAGTTTCGCGCAGCGGCAGCAGTCGACTCGGACTGGAATTGTGACTGTGACTGTGTCTGAGCCAGTGACTGTGACTGTGACGGGGTCTGTCACTGCAACTGGGCGCTTGTTGTGGGCGGCACTTTTTGTGGAATCCATCGTCGCATAGTTGATGCAGCTGCGGATAACCCAGCTCTGATATGGTATAGTCGGGCTGTTTAGTAAGCATCCTCTTCAGAATTTCACTTATACTATGTAGGAACTGTAAGCAGAGAAAATTTAAGTTAATTAGAAATGCCTCAAGGTGATTAGAGAAACGTATAAACGTATAAAACGCATGTTGCTAGGGCCCTTATCTCACATGCCTTGCACTCTAATCTAAACTGCTTTAGAACATTTAATTATCTATATTTTTTGTTAGTTATGTTAACAGTCATTTCTGTGACTACCCTAAGAATTCAGCTAAGCATTTAAATGTGCTTATTAGCTTGGTATTTGGACCCGCATACCCATTGTTTATGTTTTTTTTTTAATATGACATAATTTATTGTGGTCATTTAAAGTGTAAATATAAATGGCTTGTGTTACGTGTTTTTTGGAGGTGATGTTATGTGAAATGCCTCAGGGGAAACCGAGTGAATAGTGCTAAATTGGTTAGACTGGAGGTGCAAAGCGTAATCTTCTACTAATCTAAGATATACAGTACGGCTGCTGGGCTCTAGCTTCTTTCTTTCAACTAAAAAAGAGCACATTGGAAATATTTTTGCTCTTGCTGCTGCTATTGCTCTTGTAAATGACAGACAAAAGGGCAGAACAGAGCTAAATAGCATTCTTTGCAGTTTTCTGCTATTGGTTCTGCTATTGGCTCGCTATTGACTCTGCTATTGCTCTGTTAAGGTAGCAAGAGCAAAATGAAAAACTACAAAGAAAGCATAGCATTGTGCAAACACTGTTCCCACATTATTGAGTGTATCCAAAATCTTCATAATTCTTAAGTCTCATTAGTTTTGACTGGCATGTCTTTTGGCTGATGGCAAAGAAAACAAAGATAGTTGCTGTTCTAGCCTACATACATACATACATTCACACACACACACTCATATACCCATGTTTAAGTATTGCTATTGTGTTGCTCTTTCACACGCGTATTAAGTATTTCACAGTATTTCAAGCTTCACTCAATCCGCACGTCTCTCAGTCTATCCATATGCATATACATTTCAGATTGTATACTTCTGCACAAATACATATATATTTGTTTGTGTTGTAGCTTGATTAGCGGCGACTGAGATCTTTGTTTATGGAGCTGTTTCAGTTCACGTCGTGGACTTTTTTTTTGCATTTCAGACTTTGCACAGGCCCTAAAAGGCATGTAAATTTCGCCATATCTGCATCTATTTTATATTGTGTTTGTATCTACACATTGCATACGTAAGTGATCTGTATCTGTTATGTGTATATAGTATATGGTATATGTGTCGGCATTTGTAGCACTCTTGGCTCTACTTATTTGCTATTTGCCTGTTCCATTTCTTTGTGTCGCCTTCTAAGTTGCGCTAATTATTAGCACTTGCCATGTGGGCGATACAAAAATAACGACAAGCATTTGAAATAGGTATTTCAATTTATTAAATCGCACCGTTTATGGTTTTGCGTGTGAGGCACGTTTAAAGCGCTTAACTCTGATGCTCTTACATTTTGATTGTTTATTCTTTCTTCTTCAATTCTGGATTTTTTCTATGTGACTAACTTGCATTCCACATGTGGAACACAGATTACCGCTGTGTTCCCCCCGGCTTCTTTTGTGTAATATGATCCACTTTTGTTGAGTTGTGCCAAAGTCTTTGGCTGGTTCTTGAATTCTTGAATGCTTACCATCTCCCACCTCCTTCCATTCTCCACTCCACCACCCCCTCTCTCTAACGCATTTCATTTGGCTCTTGCTACTCATTCGTCTTTTCTTTGCTGCTCTTTGCTTCGATTTTTTCTCATAAATTTTGTTTGTTGTTGTTGTTTTGTATCTGCTCCAACCAGTTTTTCTAGTCTTTCGCTTTAGGGCGTTTAATGCCGCATGCAACGTGCCCCTATTTCCAGCAGCAGCTGCTGCCTGTTGCCTCTTTTTGTTCAATTTGCTGCTGTGCTCATATTGTTTATTAAAAAATATATTTTTGGGCAAGAGCTGGGCACATTTCGAAAGTTGGTTTTACTTTTAGCTTTATTTGCGAATTGCACAAGAAATGAAAGGGCGCCAATGTTTTGTATACCCTTTTAATACAAGTGAATCTTGCTGATCAATATTATAGTTCTTCAAATGGATTAGTTTAGTTCCCCGAGAGACATTTACATCTTTGCCAGAGTATTTGAAATTCGGCAATCAATAGCTTCGGCTATTTTCCTATTTCAATCTGAAGTTGTTTTGTATTTGGGTTAAGTTGAGTTGGTGGCATATTAAGAAATCAGAGGTTGATCAATGTGCTCTTGGATGTCAAGTTGCTATTTAATCTTGCCTTAAAAAGCTTAAAATTTATTTAAGATAAGTTAAAAAAAAAAAAACACTCCGATTGAAACTCGTAAGGTGAGTTTGTCTACGGTCCAATTTAATTTATATTAGTTTCTTTTATTAAAAGCATTTAACATTTTTAAGCAAAACCTGTTTACAACTCTTGCTTATACATACACAAAAGTAACTCCAAACTGTAGATGCACAATTTCCCAAAATTTTCATGCTGTATTTTTCCTGGCACAAAGTTCATTTCAATTTATTGTCCGTAAATTTGAATAGTTTAATAACAGTTCATATCAATTTACAGACAATAAATGAATACATCACGTGATAAATTTAATTATGCATTTCCCCTCCGCCATCTAAACATTTTTAAACTATGTTGAAATCTTGATACCAGCGACGCTTTGTTGCCCGTTTGCCTTTCTCTCGGTTTCCGTCGGGGCGACCTCAGCTGTCCCGCCCCCAACTCATGGCTCTTTCACCTACGTTCCGTTAATTCCATTATAACAATTGATTTCATTGTGCAATCATTGTCACGCAGCAGCAGCAACAACAGATACAACAGCTACAACAATGAAATCAATTCATGACAACTATGTGGTTAACGGATGCGTAAAAAGATACACAGGTATTGCACAGATACAGATACACCGACACAAATGCTGCAGCGGCTGCAACATTGCCCAGCGCTGACTCAAGGCATTTTAAAATCCCATGACGTCTATAAAAAATCAAAAACCTGATTGCTAATTTAAGCCTCTTGCACTTGACATGGACATGGACAGTAACGGCCACAGTAACAACAACTTTCACTTGGCCTAAACGCACCTATTGCTTTCTTTTTTTTTGTTGCTTGGTGTGGTGGTTTCCTTAGCACCAATTTCTTTTGCGTGGCAATTGTCGCGTTGTTTTCTTCGCTTCGTATTCTTGGCGTACTTCTTCTTCCCACCGTGCCGACGTGCGAACCGTAAGAAAGCCGCTTCACAACTAATTCTACACGAGTAGACTACGAGGCGGTCTCCGCTCTTCGCTCGAGCTCTCTTTGAATACCCTGCATACAAAGTCGGGTTAGGGGCCGCATTAATACCCGTGACTTTTAGCAATAAGTTGCTACATAAAAATTCAATTTTCTTAGAAGTGCAAATGCAATAAGATAAATACTAAAAATTGTATTAATGAAAACAAATGGTATACATTTATAAATTATAATATGGCTTTCTTATATGTTATTGATTGATGATACCGCTAAATTCATGAGACTGTCTGCCTTCTTGACTTAAATTTACAGGGTATTTATCAACTTTCATGCGATTCTACAACATTTTTAATTACTGTTCTTTGTGTTTATTTTCTCTTTGACTGCTACACGTGCTGGGGAACGTATTGCCACAGAGAGAGAGAGAGAGAGAGAGAGAGACTTTAAAGAGTAAACGATTGGTGATCTGGTCACATTGTGCCGTCAGCTTGCTCTTTAGATCTGCTCTTCTCTGAACACAGGCACCATCCAACCACAGAAAACGCTTTCTGTGCCTTTAATTTAAAATGATAATTGAAATTTTACCTGTGTTCATTTTTTGTATAAATATTTTTGCATATATTTAATGAGAAGGCGCAGTTTTTTTTTTGTTGGTGCAATTGCCAGTTATTTTTATTGCTGTACCAATAAGATTTGCTAAGGTTTTTGAACCTTACCATTTAAATTGCGGACAGCTTTAATACACTTACTTTCTGGAATTTAACGGTTCGCATTATCTCCGACTAAATAACTTGCATTTTCATTGCAATTAGCTCAGCGGCTATAACTGTTAACCTTTATCGCAATTCCAGCTGAGCCCGACACCTTATGCATTATTTATTGTAGGTGCTCCCATCATATGACTTCTACCTGAACATGATTAAGCGCGTTGCTATGCGTTTGCGTCGAACACCGATCCGATCATCGATGTTTTAATTGAACTGTGGATGTGCAATATCACGTACTCTGAATCGTAATAGATAATAATGGTTTTATATCTATACCTAAGGCGGCCTCAGGGTTTCTATTTTTTTTCGCTATTCGGTTTCACATGTAGCGCAATTACGTGTAAATATTTTGTTGTTGTTGTTGTTGTGATTTCTGTTTCAATTGCATGTTTTGAATGAATGCATATGTAACTGATCTGGGATGATATATGCAACTGGATAGGTAAATTAAGTGCTTTGCAATGTTTCGTGTTGTTTATTTTCGCCCATTTCCAACTCATTTTACTCTTTAGCATAGTGTAATCATTTCGAGGTGATTTTTACATGTATTTGTATCTCGAAAGTGACATTTACCATTTAAAACATAAAAATATATATTTTTTAAATGCATTTTTATTTGGAGCATTAAATATTCTTTTGAACTAAATAAATTTGATTGATTAATTGAACTTTACCAGCAAATAATTATATCCATCAGCAATATGAAGATTATCTTAATTTCTGTGTTGATTGCTTTCAGATGCCAAGACATTCATCTCAGGAAAGAATATGTTAACTTGGTCGAATCGGTGCGCGATGCCGGTGGTGAGGTGAAAATATTCTCCAGTATGCATATATCGGGAGAACGTAAGTATTTTTTCTTAACTTTTCTTTTCTTTTTAACGCCTGAAAGCCTTGGTAATTAGCATAGAACAAAGTGTTATATGATTTGGATCATTTGGATATTATTTCATAAGCCAGCAAGTGCAAAGGAAAAGATGCAAAAATGCCTATGCGTGTTTTTCATTTTGGTCTAGAATATGTACAGGCCTCCCCCTGTCTAATGACCTCGTTAAGAATTCTATTTTTACATGGCTCGCATTGCATATGCATACACATATACATATACTTACAAAATACACATATATATATGTATATATATATATAGATAGATATGAATACATGTGTTTGTCGTATGTATTTCTCGAAGAAATCTCCCGCAATGCATAATTTACTCAAGTCGACTGTGTGTTGAGAGCACTTTCAATTTTCAAATCAATTTTGCATGTTCTTAATTAAAATTACATTTTGTATGTTTATCGTAAATATGTTTGGGTCTTTAAATAGGCATTTCTTACGCCGTGGCTGTGGCTGTTTGGTAAATGAGTCACGTGTCGCATTTTCTTTGGTTTTTCTTTTGTTGTTATCACTTGTCTGCGACTTGCCATTAATATACCCTGTAGAGTGTTTAAGTGGGGTATAGTGGGAGTCTTTAAAAGACGTGTAAATGTTTGCCGATGTACAATTCACAAATTTAAATTGGGAAAGATACAAAAGTATTATTTACCTTAACTACTTTGGCAATTTTGCCTTAAAACTGTTTGCAGGGTATCTTTGAGTTGCGTACTCTCGCTTAGCTTACGCTTACGTATAAAGCGTAAATGGGTCGCTGTAATTCTAAAATAGAACCCAATCCTTTAGTAGCTGTTGTAACTTGTGCTCGTACCAAGAGAACAAAATGAAATTTACATAGCTGGCTTGTCTCTCAACGCCACTCGAACATTTCCACATTTCCACATACATAATTGTTTTTAACTCGTTATCGCTGGAAGCGCCTTCTCAAGTACTTCTCTTCGTGTTTGTTGATTTGGTTCGTTTTAATCAGCTTTCAATTACTTATATATAAACATTTTTTAAAGAGTGTAAACAAAAAGCACAACGAGCATTTAAATGATGTGCAGATACAAACAACTCAACGATTTCATTGAGTAAACAAAATAAAACCGAACCGAACCTATACTAAACCAAAGCACATGAAGCAATTCCCAAACAGTTTACAATGTTCTACATAGAATTAATCACGTCAAAAAATTAGCATATTGTTAATTGTAATACCAAGTTGAATGTTAAGTTCAGTTCAACTCTAGAACAGAACCGGTAAGCCTTGAAACTGACAACTGCAAGCACACTCCTACACCCCCAGTGCTGAGCAAAAATAAGCTGACTGGTTTGCTTGGACAGCGTACTGGCCTTGGTTTACAACGTACTCTGCAGCATGGCTAGAGCTGTGGGTATGCACTTTACTAAAGTTGACCACTGGCAATTAGGCGTCTTAATCTAATCTAATGGACCGGATGCTTAAAATTATGCAATTATCTTACTTTTGTCAAGAGTCGAGGTTTAGTTCAGAGCAAGTCTACTTATGGGTTTAAGGAATACCTCTGTAGCGAGTCCAAGATACTTAAGTTGTATGAATATTATTCGCTTAAAGAAATATCCATAATCAGAAATGATTAAATTCCAACTGCTGAAAGACTTTTAGAATATAGATCGCTTTTAATTTGTGTCTTTCTAATTTTCTAATTGTATTTGAGACTCAACTGAGTAACTCTTTATATTATATATTTACGAAATAACATACTTTACTGTGTATCTCTCTTGTGCATTTTAGAACTCGCCCAACTGACGGGCGTTGCGGCTATTTTGCGATTTCCCATGCCCGAGCTGGAGGATAGCGATGATGATGACGATGAGGATGGGGCAGCGGGCGGCGACAACAGCGATAGTGATTAACCACTAGATCCTAAAATCCTTAAGATCAAAGCAAAACAACAAACACTTAGAATTTTTGAAAAAAAAACGATATTTTTTTACTTACTCAAGAAGAGAAGCGGCGAACGTCAAACTCTTGCAGCAAAGTTGAAAACATAACAAACAATATATAAAATTACTGTATACATACACACACACACACACACACATTATATATATATAGAGTAATAGGTACTACTATTGACAGACTTGGACTGTGTCAGGGCATATACAATATACGAGTACTATATATACATACATATACCATATACAAATCTAGTGTGTACGATGGGCGTCAGATCGATCGAGTGATGCGTGCGTTAGTTAAAATTACATGAATAACAAATTTCGAAACAGTTTCTCAATAGACAAGCAATTAATTCTAGCCTAACTTAGCCTCCCCCACTATAACTAATATTATGTGAACTATAACTAGGCTATGCGTAACTAGGACTTCTAACAGTCAGTGTTCAGCAAATTGCAATTGACACTTCCATTTTGCCTATATTTATAACAATGGTTTCTTCTGCTTTTGCTTTTGACTGCTGTTTTTTGCTGTTGTACTATATGATTGTATATGTATATGATTTTTTATAAATTTTATGTGTTCTCTTCACAAAGTGTAAACCCCAAAATCGATTATTGCGAGTTCTTATTGTTCAAATTATTATTTAAGCTTTACATATAAATCGAGATTTGTGCAACGAATGTTTTTTTTTGATTTTTTTTTTTTTTTTTAAGTCTGCTGGTTCTGGTTGCGGATTTTGTTTGCCTGGTATTTTGCAAAGAAAAATAACAGAAACTCGAGTTTTATATAAGGAGTAGGACTTGCATACAAATTGTATGTAAGATATATAAACTCATTTGCCTGCTCATCATATAAGAATTTGGTTTCTTGCCAAGTCATTGAGCAAAAGCCCTGAAGTAAAGTCGATGGGCAGCCGCTCGCTGAATGAAATTCCAAACGCACAGAATCGGTAGCGGGTGCCTGAAGAATATTTGGTTGCAGCCAACATCATCACGTTGGCGCACAAGAGCTGAATTTTGCGTAAGGCAAGCCTCACGCACGAGCTGAATTTTGCGCACAGCCAACTTCACGTTGGACCATTATATTTGCGCAGGCAATATAATGAAAATGCAGACTAACGAAGTTGGTTGCGCTAAAATCTGTTCCTCTGCGACGTTAGCTGTGCTTCAATTGAGCAGTCACGTGAAGTAGGCTGCGCGCACAATTTAAAAGTCAGTGCAACGATAGTTTCTCTTTCTTTTCGTTTTCTTTTATTGTTTTTGTGTACAAACTAAGCCTAAGATCAAGACACAGGATAAGCGATATCGGCGTTCACTTGGCGCCCAACTGAGCAGCAGCCGCAGCAGCGGCGGCAGCCGCCTTGCGCGCATCCCGCTTGGCCGTCTTTTTCTGCTCTTTGGCATCGGTGTCGATGTTGCGTCGCTTCTTGCGCAGCAGCCACTCCTCCTTCTCCTTGCTCTGTTTCTCGCGTATCAGCTTGCGGAAGAGATTGCGATGACGCGGCTTAACCATGCGCGCCTGCAGCCGATGCTCATCGACCTCCGCCTTGTGCACCTGCCGCTTGTTCACCTTGTGCACCTTGCCCGACTGCACGGACATTTTTTGCTTCTGCAAGTAGCGAGATTGAAAATTGTTAAGTACTGTGTATTATATTTAATGCTGAAGGACGTACCTCCTCGAGCAGTCGCTGTGCCTTTTCATCGAGCTCTTCTTCCTCATCGTCATCGCTTTCGTCCTCGTCTTCATACAACTGCTCATCGTCAGAGTCTTCTTCATCTTCGTTGACGCCATCGGCACCGCCATACTTCTTGTATTCGGCCGTCTCCTCCTGATAGGCGCGCTGCAGTTGCGCATCGAGCAGCTCCTGCTCCACGGCATCCTCCTCCTCCTCCTGCGCCGCAGTCTCTTCTTCAGACTCATCATCGCTTTGAGCTGCAGCAGAAACAATAATAATAAGATCACCTCCAATTTGGACAGTCCCTTATCTTACCATGCGTCTCGATCAGGGAGGGATCATGGAGCGCTCTCTCCTCGGGCGGTATATAAGTATCCCGCTTGGCGTCAACGAACGGCGACAGATGTGGCGGCAACTTCTCGCCGATGAAGTATTGATTGGTGGGCAGCAGCTGGCGCTGATTGACACAATCGAAGATCCACTGCGGCTGTATGTAGTCGCGAGAGATGTATTGTGTTGCCAGGCTGGGTCTGTCCACAATCTGGTGCGTAATGCTCTCATCGCCCTCGTCGTACGTCGAGCCCGAGAAGACTGTCGAATCCCAGGACACTTTGCCGCCAAAGGAGCGTATAATGATGACGAGTGGCTCGCGCGGCACCTCGCGATTGATGAAAAACTTGAGGCCTTTAAAGAGGGTGCGGAGTCGGGTTATCTCCTGGGCATCCTGTTTCATTTTGATGATGCGCTTGGAGTCGCCATCCTGTTCGAGCAGCTCCATATCGATGTCGGGTTCCTCCTCATCCTCCTGCAGCTTGTCGGTGCGCAGCAGCTCAAAGTTGAGGGCAGCAATGCGCTCCGAGACAAAGCTGGACTCGTCCTTGAGCGTTTCATCGTTGTCCTGCAGCACACCGCTGGGAAACTGTGGCGGATAGGCCAGATTGAGGCCATGATATAAACGGAAATTGGTGAAGCCCAACATGATTGTATAGAACTCCACAAATATCGACATGACCTTGAAGTCAACCTCCTGTCTCGACTGCGGCTTAAACGGATAATAATGTGGCACAATCCAATTGATCTTCTGGCCCTTGATCTCCGCCTGGAAATAGTATCCCTTTATCGAGATGAACACTTTGCGCAGCGACTTCGAGGCAATCACATAATGCAGGAATTCAATGGTCAGGCGGCGACACAGATTCGACTGCTCGCGCGGAATCAGATGCAGTGAGGGAAATGTGCTGAACAGAAAGAGCAGTGTGAGGCAATCGTCCAGATCCTTGAGCGCATCAATGAACGTCGGATAGCGCTCCTTAACAATATGATCGAGCTTGATCTCGGGGAACAAGGCCAGGCGACGTTTCAGATTGCGAAAATCCTTGATGGCGCGATCGCGACCCGATTTCTTGGCAAAGATCTGCAAGCAAAATATATATTTTTTATATATTGGTTACCAGCTAATTTGTAAGGAATTTACCTTATAGTCACGCAGCGTCCACACGATGGGCTCGTGCAGCAGAAAGCGTATGTCCTTGGTATGATAAAGGATCTTGATCTCCGACGAACCCTTCTGGGCGCGTCTTCTGTGCTTGGGCTCGCGTGGATAGACGCCCTTCAGGATGCACAGGCGCCGAAAGTCGTTCAGCGATAACTGCAGCTTGCGCAGCGCCGCACGCCGGCTAATGTACTGTGTGGCCTCGCCGGACTCGTACTGTGAAGTGACAAACAGATTGATAAAATGGCTGTGCTTTGCTTTATTGTGTAGTGTATTGAAAATAACCTCACAGTTTTGCTGTGAATTGCGTGTTACTATTTTACTTGAAACATACCTTCTTGGGACGTCTCATTGTGGCGGTCTGTTAGAGCAGCTATTTATTAGATGCTGACAACTGTTGAATACAATTGTTTTACTCGAATATTGTTTGTTTTGTGAAAAACACACGACGTACCCAAAAACACACGTTTCTGTGTTGTTGGTCGCGTGGGAAGGGACGGTGTGACCTTACGCACATCATGAGAAAATATCTACCAATTAAAAATGTTGCCATTCGATGATAATGCGTAGTGCTGCCACTCTATTAGGAAAAGAAATGAGAGCTCATGCGCGGCAGTTTGAAAAATTGCCAGATCGAGATGGGCAGCACTGCGTTTTAGTGCTACCAGACTACTTATTTATCGTTAACTTGCGCGCCAAATATGTCAACAGATGTAAATTGTCAGCACTGCCCACTAGTGCTACCAAATTGTTTTATATATCTGTTAACTTGCGCGCCAAATATTCAAACATTGTGCACTGCCTTTTGGATAACTCTTTTTATTGAATCTGTTTTTATTGTTTTTATAGGTAGGTATTGTATTGAGAAAATAACATACAGTCTAAGTTTGTTGTATTATATAATATTCGTTATATATTAGTTAGTTTGAACATTAACTTTATATATATATATATATATATGTATATATATATATATTAATTTTTTTGTTTGCTAGCAATATGCTGACTGCAATTATGCTTTACAATTTTTTTTTTGTGTTCTTGTTGTTGTTGTTGTCAATAACAAAAATTTTATTAAACGGCCATTTGATTCGTTAATTCGTTTGCTGCGGCTCTGCTACAATTCGGCTATGTAACGGTTTTTTTTTCATATTTCTCATCTTTGACGCGTTCATCTGTGTGTGTGTGTGTGTGATAGTGTTTATTATTATTTAAGCGTTACGATTTAAATGTATCTGAGTGTGACTTGTTGTATATTTCACCTAAATAACTAGTTAACATTGTATTGTATCTATGCTTATTAGCTTCGTTTTGATTTACATAAGTGTCGTTCCATTTTGCGCCCCTCTTCTCCTCTCAAAATGCCTTTTGTTATATATTTCATCAACTGGTGTTTTTTGTCAGTATTTGCTCGTATTTTCTGTGCCATCGAAATTGACTATATTTTGTGTATTTGATTTGTTTTCTAGTCGCTTTTTTTTTGTTGTTGTTTTTAATGACAATTTGATCTGATTTGATGCAAGGATGGGTCTCAGGAGGGGGGATTGGGGAGGGGGAAAGGATCATGATTGTGGTGTGTTTTTTGTATAAAATCTAAATGTTGCATTTAATTATACATATATATGCGTGTGTGTATATATATATATATATATATTTGTTTTGTTATGTATAAATATGTACTTCTATAAAGTAAATAACATTCTGTTTTAGAGCATCGCTGTATTATTCGCAATTGTTGTAAAGTAGAGCCGAATTCAATGGTTCAGCAAGTTCTGGGGATTCCTGGTTTGTCAATCCAATGGCATCTTCACATCACTTTCGTTTGACTCGCTTACAGGATGCAGGATACTCCGCCAATCTGTCCTGTTCCGTCCTGTCCTGTCTTGTAATGCTTATAATGTACAAATACAACATAAAAGAGAATTCCAGATAACATATCGTAAAATTTCAAATTCAAAATATTAATTTCTCGAATGTTTTCATATACAGAAACAGTTAACTGTTTAGAACTTTTCGATATTATTAAATGTGTGTGTGCGTGTGTTGTATGTATGTATTTATATAAATTATTTGTACAATCTTATGTGCTAAAAGCGTATCAGTTATTAAAATTAATTCTGTTTTTGTATTATAATACTCTCTTTTGTTCACTATTCAAATTAACATTTATGTATGTGTGTATGTGTGTGTGTGTATATGTGTGTGTGTATGTGTGTGTGTACTAATTACACACACACATGTTCAACAATTCTCGTTACAAAATAAAGCACACACATATATGCATACATACATACATACATATGTATGTATGTATGCATGACTACGTACTACACGTATGTAAAAAATGTAAAGTAAAAATCGCACAACAATTAAACTCAACAACACAAAAATCACTGGTGGGTAAGGAATTGTTTTTTGTTTTTTGTTTTTTGTATTACACACACGACGGTTATTTTGCTTAACGAACTGCTTTTGCCAACGTTATCAAATCGATTGGAATTATCTTGACCGATAATTGCATTGGCATTTCATCTTTACCTGCCTATTAAAAATAATAAACGCATTGCTCTTGTTCTTTTTCTTGTTGTTATATACTTACAAATTTGAAAACGCTATAAAAAACTTTAAATTAGTCTACCAATATGTTAACTATTACTTTTTGCTGGATTTTCATTAACGGTTCTTATTATTTATCGTTATCGTTTTTTTTTGGTTTGCTGCCTAAAACACAACTGAAACTCGAGTAGGGCACCTGTCGTGCTTTTCTTTTCTTAGACTCAACACGACGAATACAATACGTGATTTGCGAGATGCTGAGAACTGTGCATTATTGCAATGACTCAACTCAGCATACAAAGGTGAAATCCCAGGAGAAACCCGTGCGTGTCGTGTCATGTTTGAAAAGCTGAGACAAGCGCCCATCTCAAATTCAAAGTCAAGTTTATGCAGACGACAACTGACAGCTTTTTGCGATCGTCGTTCGTTAATTGGTAATCGTTATTCGTTAATCGTGTATCGTTAATCGTTATTCGTCAATCGTTAATCGTTTATCGTTGCTCAATGCAGACGAAAGCTGACAGCTGGACAACTTGCAGTCGCCGCATTTGTTATTGTTTGTTTTTTGCTTGTGTTATACAACGGACGCAACTTGAAACGTTTATTTGATGTACTCGTTACTCGTACATGCACACACTATATATCATTATGTATATAGTATATAATCGAATATATATATATATATATATATATATATATATATAAGTTTTGTATACACAGCGTTACGTATTTTAAAAAGGAAAGAATGTAAGTTACTCATACTATCTGTTTTTTGGTAAATACATAATAAATACTTATAAAAATCAATATATTTTTGTTATATATATGTATGTATTGTATATATCTATGATAATTATATATTTCGTATTTAAAGCTGAAATTAATGATTATGTGCTCTCTCATTAAGTGTGTTTAGTATTATTATTATTATTATTATTGTTGTTGTTGGTTTGGTGATTGAATTGTTAACTAACGCAATTGTTTAGTTTTGTCCATAAATTATTTGTCTGTGCTATGTGTTTGCTAATTTCATATTATGGAATTTCTATAGATATTTTTTAGTATGCCAATTGATTTTAGTTTTAATTAAAATTTGTTTAATACTTACGGCGCTTTAAGCTGCAACTTAAATAAAATTTGGTCAAGAACAAAATTAGCAGACACAAGTTGTGTTTTTCTTTCTTTTTTTTCAGTTTTCTTTTTCACTTTAATTTCAAACAATGATTTTGTATTTGGTAAGTTTAATATTTTATAAAGTATATACTGTAATTTTCGTTTTATTAATCTTTAATATTTATTATTATTATTATTATTTCTTGCTCTGTAACGCTTCATTTATATGTTATGAACATTTTTACTAATTTTTCAACAATTTTTTTTTTGGTTTGGATTTTTTGTTACGCAATTATTCAACTTTGTAAAAATCTATAACCATAACAATTTCTCATATATATATATATATATTTATATATATGCATATGTTATATACATACATATATATATATATATATACATATATATTTTCTGTATATATATATTATCTTATATAAGTTGCTTTGGAGCGAGACCTTGACGACCTCCACTTGACGTGTGAATTTGTGTGCGTTTTAGAGTTAGGATTTGGGAAGTGAAAGGAGCTTGAGTTCATAATATGATTGATTGATTGATCGATGCTAACTAAGCTGATTGTGATTCCTTATTGACTTATAGTTGTATATGTATGTGTGTGTGTGAGTGTGTGTGGGTGTCATTTAATTTTGATTTTGTTCTGCTTGTCTTCTTGTATAAAATGTTAACAGACGCTGACATTTGTACTGCGCTTCATGGATTCAGTTTTCGATTAGAGAGAGAAAGTGCTTCGAAAGTATATATAGTATATGAACACTCCGTGCGGAATGCTAGTCGATTAACAATTTCATAAATTTTGTTAGGTTAGTTTTTTCTTTTTTTTTGGAATATTCTGTAGCATAGTTAGTTCTACATAAGTATTTTTTTTTGTACTCGTTCGCAGTACTTTATAGAGAAAAGTGGGCGCGATATGTTTAAAGTGAGTGCCTGTGAGGTGTTTATGTGTGTGTGTGTGTGTGTGTGTCTGTGTGTGTGTGTGTGTGTGTGTGTATGTATGAGTGTGTGCTGGGTTTCATGTACTAAATAAATAATTTTGGTTGTTCTTATTTATGTATGTATTTTTAGTATGTATATATCGTTATAATATATATGTTTTAATATATATATATATATATGTGTGTCTGTGTGTGTATATATATATATATAAGTATGTTTCTCGTATGTGTTTTGGTTTTTTTTTAAAGTTAATTTGGAAGATTATTGGATCGTTTTCACCATATACGGCATGGGTGTGTGCTTATGTGACTTTCGTTTGTTTTCATTTGCTGGAAGTTCTCTCAGTTCGAGAGCATGCAATTTTTTTTGATGTCACCTGCTCTTCCGATTGCTTTATATTCCCCAAGATCATGCGATCAATGCGTAAAAGTGAGCGTTCGAGTTAAGAATGTGTTAAGATAGTCCATTTATGAGTTCTTTTTTCTGCTATCATGTGATGTAACTGAACTTTAGCGAATTGACACCAGACCCAACAACACAGCAAACCAGATAGAGAGAATTGGTAGGCCAAAATAAATATTGTATTTAATATAGAAACAGAAAACAACTCTTCAAAAGATCAGCTCAGCTCTACAGAGAACCAGAGCCTTTAACAGAAATAAGCGAAATATAACAATTAGATGGGAAGTACTTGATTTGAAGTTGCTTAACTTTAGAAAGATCAACAGCTTAGAAAATGCGGTTTTAAGTTCGAATAAGTAATAGATTGAAGACTGAAGCAAACTGATAGAGAAAGAGAGAGAGAGGTTCCATAAGTAAAAAGAGAAATAAAAGAGAACCAGAAATAAGTTCAAAGGCTGTATAAATATTTAAAGAAACAGTCAATGAGTATAACTATAATCATTTCACTCCCAAATCAAGGTTTCTTTCGTTTTTGGGCCAGTTAATTAGATTGTTTAGTGGCTTTCATGTTTTCCAGTTCTCCATTGCCATGTTGTTGGTTTATAGAGCATTTGGCCAACCAAGCAACCAACCAACTAACCAATGTTGGTTGGCGTGACGCACTTAATGTAATGTACCTCGTGGTATTTGTACAATGTGAATTTGTTGTTAATTCTGTGTTTTGGTATTTGGTGTTCTGTTCTCGGTTAAATTTTCTGCATTGTAATTATAATATCGTATGTGGTATGTCCATATATAATTATAATATATGTATGTGTGCGCAACACTATTATGCACTGCACCACCCATGGGGTGGAAAAGCAGACACACTTATTAACCTTCGCGTCTCTAATACATATATATATATATAAGTTTAGGTACATATATGCATTCTGCCATTTATAGGTATGTGTACATATTTATGTGTATATATATATGTATATATATAAGTATATATATCTGATGGCATCGACTAGGCTATACAACAGCTCGGGCTACACTTCTATCATCTCTTTTTATTTATTTTTTGCAAAATTACTTGTTCTTGTTGTTGTTTTGTTGGCCGTGCTTTAATATACAGTTTTGGTTTTTGAATTGTGTGTGTTATTTATTACATATAGTATTTAATTTATATATATATATATATATATATACACATATATATATATATGTATATATATTAAAAATGTTATGTCACTGCCACTAGTTCTCATTTAAATGTATTCGCCTTCGCCTTGTTGTAAAAATTATTGCTTTCTGATTTGTGTTTTTTTTTGTTGTTTTTGTTTTTGTTTTTGTTCTAGTTTTCGAGTGAGTATTTTTTGGTAGGATTTTTTGTTACCTCAACTTCAATTTGCGAGCCATATGCAAACATTTTGGGATATCTTTAGATATATTGCCTACTTAAGTTATAGTTGCATATATATACTTTATGTTTTTATCATTTCATTATATAAAATATATATATATTTATATATATAGGTATATATATATATATATATATATATATATATATATATGTATATATGTCTATATAAGTATGTATATATTTAATGGGCTTTTATGTTTAATTCATGCTTTTCATCATTTTGCTTGCGGCCATTTTTACGAGTTTACGATTTAAGGTTTAAGATTTTAGGTTTAGTTTAGAAAAATGTTACGTACGTTCTAAATAAAGAGAGCAAGTTGTTTTTTTTTTGTTTAAATATCTTTTTATATATCGTATATATGCTCATTTGTATATATATATATATGTTTATATATATACACATATATATATATATATATGTAGGGGATTCATTAAGCAAAAAGTATATGAAATTATTAATCTCATTTGATTTTTTGGTTTTCGAACTTGTTTATGTAGTCTATCATAAATATTGTTTAAATTGAAATAACTGCACCTTTTACACGCCAACAAGAATCATAAGTATCATAATCATAACGACAATCATAATAATAATATAATGATAATTAGTTTCAAAGGTTCGATCGAGCATCATGGTTTTAAAATTATGTATGGCAAATGTTTAGCAAAATGTTTCTTTTATTTTTCTTTTTTCTTTTAAGTATGCCTAGTATTAATCATAATTTTTTGCTTTTCACTTTCTTTTTCGTTTTGTTTTCTTTTTTTTTTTGTTTATTTTTTGTTGTTTTTTTTTTTTGAGTATAGTTGTAGCTTATCATTTTGTCGTTTAATAAGTACGCAAATTATCACTTAATCAATATAGGTCAATATATAAGTAAGTATATATATGCGATGTAAGTGTGCGTGTGGTATATAAGTTCATATTATATAGTATAAGTTTCGTAAAACTAGACTGATTTAGGCTCTGTCTGGCGTAAAGCTTTCTTTTTCTTTGGAAAATTACTAGAACAATTTATATGTATGTAGTTAGGTAGAGCACGCAAATTATATAGTATTAGAGAGCGGCAAGTGTTGGAACGGGACAGAAATTTTCATATATCCAAAGGTTTTTTTTTCTTTTTAATTTCAAACATTGAATTTGTAGAAATTTGTAGAAAGTTTAGCCAAATGCCAAGCATTTTTTCTTTCTTCATATTATTTTGAAATAATAGGAACAATTTGGATTGCTGTAGTTTTCGTATTAGATTCCCAAATTGGATGAAATAGTAAAATACATTGTGGATAGAATAATTAATAGAGACCGTCCAACACTTTGCAGAGTTAAAATATGCTCAACATAATTTCTGGCTGTCTCGTTTCGTAACATATTTAAGGTGCTTGTGCCAAGTAAGGACTTAAGTAGATTTTATATACTCGTAATTAGTAGTAATTTAAAAACCCAAACGTTTAAGTAAAGTAATTGATTGGGAAGCCATTATTTGAGGTTTTTTTTTTTTCTTTTTCTAAATAGTAATTAATCAATTATGGATAAGTTAGTTAAGGTTCTTAGTTGACGTAGAGACAGAGTTAGAGAGATAAAGCTGAAGAGTTTTTGTGTGTGTGTTGTGTGTGTTTTGTGTGTATTCTTTTTGTTTTGTTTTCAATATGTTGTTGGCTTTGTTTTATACGGCTTAAAAAGCTGCGGCTAAACATTTAAAGTAAATGTCTCTTTTGTTGAAAAAGGAAAAACGCTGCACGTAGCACTAACTAACTCGTTTTTAGCTTCTTTTTTGGTTTTGGTTTTGGTTTTGGTTTTGGTTTTTTCATCTTTCCTTTGTGTGTTTTTTGGAGCTGCAGTTTTGCCGTGCGGTTCTTAGACGGGGCAAGTGATCAAATCATATTCGAACATCAGCGACACCGCAACAAAGACAAAGTACAACAGAAACATGGTAAAGCCCAACCCCTTGTTCATGCGCCAACGGAAGCAGGCAATTGATAGCACCACAAATACGAGCATCATAAACAATATGGTTATGGAACACACCATGCCCACCGAGTTCACTTCAACGGGCGCATCGTAGATAATCCCATAGATCAGCCAGGGTATCGGCAAGCTGCATTTCCGAACATCCAAACAATCAATCAATTAGTACCCACTCCATATACATATACATATATATATATCGATATATATGTGTCTCAGTTATATATAGTGTAGTATTTGGGGATTGCTGCTCAACTCACCCCACAGTCACATCGAATATGTTGCTACCCACGGAACTGGACACGGCCATGTCGCCAAAACCCTTCCGAGCCACAATCACCGACGTTATCAAATCCGGTATGGATGTGCCAGCCGCCAGGAAGGTGAGGCCCATAACCTGGGAGGGAATGAGAATGTAGTCAAATTAGTCATCAAATAAAAAAATACAAAATCCAAAAAACTTGAAATTATTATAATTTTGTAGATTATTGAACTAAATTTAAATAAAAGTTGTTAAAATAAATTGGTAAGAATGTTTATATTTTTAAATATTTATTTCATTTTTATTTTCATTTATTTTATATGAGATCATTAAATTTTGCATGTGAAATACAATGAATATTACCAAAACAAAGTAGTAAAAATTTATATTTTTTTATTTATTTATTTTCTTTTATTTGATTAAAAAAAAAATCAATAAACCAAATTAAGTTTTGCATATAAAATACAATGAATATTAAAAAGTAAACTAGTAAATATATATTTATATTAATATTAGTATAAAAGTATTATATTATATTTGTATATTTTTGTTTAAGTCAAATTTGGAATTTACCTCTGGGGGTATGCGCGCCGTGTCTCCGGCGACATTGGCCCACCACACCATGAGATAGGAGAAGGCAGCTATCCAAACGATGGACCCTATAAAGGTGACCGGAAAGAAGCGTTTGCCGCGCGGCGTTCTCGTGTCGGGCAATGTTAGCCACATGGGCACCAGGAGGGGGGCGACCAGGACGTAGGTGAGTCTCTTCCGAGCCGTATCTGGCCAGGCCATGCTCAGGGGCTCCGGTTCATCCTCGATTATTTCGGGCGCCTTGCGTTTTGCGAACGAGCGTGGATATGGATATGGATATGGATATATATGTTTATATATATTATAAAATGTTAAAGTTTAAGCTTTTGTGGTGCTTTAAGAGATCATTGTTTGTTTATACAATATATATATATATATATATAAATGTTGACTTCAGATAAGTTATGTATAATAGAATAGTACATATTGTTTGTAATTTGTTAAGAGATAGTTTATAAGTATAAAATTGATGTGGGTGAGTCTGACAGAGATTTGACCATGTATGATATGTCTTCTTTGGCTATGTTTACATATGAGCATGAGGCGGTTGATAGCACGAAATATGTATGTTTGAACAGATCAAGAGTTTTAGCTTGATTTCGGAAGCAGTATTCTAGTATTGAGTTTTGTGGAGGAGACACACTCACAAACAGACGTTAAGAGCTGACTCTGGATTAGTAAGTAGGATTCGATGGTGTTGAATAAGTAGTAAGTGGTTCGAGCTAAGTGTGGCCAGAGTTGAAAAAAAGAAGAGTAGCTTACAATATGTGGTAGTTTAGTGTAAGTACAAACAAACACATACAAAACAGTTATGCACTTACTTTCTAGTTAGATTACAATTGATTTTTGAGGGTGCTATACGAGTATTGTAACGTGCAGAGATGTCAGCATCTTAGTCTTATTCTTAGGCATGCTCAAATGTTGATTTATTTTCTTTTCTTTTCTTTTCTTTTCATTTCTTTTCATTTCTTTCTTTCATTTTTTCATTTTAAGTGCAAGAACACAGATACAGACAGGCTACATACACACACACAATCAATGGATGCGCATGAGCACAGCCCGAACTAAAGTCGATCGAGTGTAACGAAAATAGAAAGTAAAACATTTTATATAGTTATGCTTAGGTGACTAAAATGCTAATTAAATAGAGTTTATAGATTAGAGTGTTTTACGCTACAATTGTCTTAAAAGCGGCACTAAAGCAATGTGAGTGAATATACTCTTACAAATTGGCGATAAAGCAAAGTACATTTAGTACTAATTCCAGCATATTCTTTGCTTGTGGCAACTGCGGTTTCAGTTCAATGCTCCTGGGCATTCAATGTGGTTGACGATGACAAACTAACCGACGACTTCAGTTTAATTTGATCGAATGTTGATGGTATTGAGTTCTTCATGATTCATATTTAGTATGAATCAAAGGTGGGGTCAAACATAATCATTTACATTAATGTGACAAATCGAAAATGCATTTTTACCAATTCAAATTCGATATCAGAATCAGAGCCCAAATTTAAAATGTTTACCCAAATGGCGATATGGAAGTCATTTTAGTAGATCCTGTTGCATACTTAATTTTTCAATTTGTTCTATTTGGTTTAATCTAGTGCCTTTCAGATCCATTGCACAAACGGATGCTGAAATGCTTTCTACTATAAGAAATAATGGTTATTCTAGGCACGCGGCAGATATTCCACCAGAAATTTCGTTTAAAAACCGATCGAGCTATGATAAATGTATTTGTCCAATTTTTGTACTTTGTTCAAATGGTATCCCAGTGTTCCACAGTCGCTCTCCCAATTTTATATTGTAAAAATCAAGGTGCCAATACATGAACGAATACCGTAAAAAGTTTGGAAGAATACCGAAATCTTTAACAGAATTCTTCTACTTTACATGCCTGTATCGGATTGGACACCTAAATTCGTTTCGGGTTGACACTCTGATATATCTTGATTTAGAATATTTAAGTCTCGATCAGTTAAGTATGCCTATTTATTGAATGTATTCACTTTCTGCAACTATCATTTTATTTTTCTGTATTTATATTATATCGAATTTATAGTCACGATACGGGATACGGGCAATTATAATATTCAAATCGATTAGATGCAAATGTGGAATGTAGAATGGCGATTGCCTCATCTTCTAGAAATTTGAGTGCGAGAAACCATTTAATTCACCGTCATTGTCACTGTCATTGTCCCCGCATTCCACTGCCCAGGAGCGTTTAAAGCATTGTCAGAGATATCTTTTGTTTATTTTGTTTGCTGACGTCGCTTAATGCACATAGCAAAGATATACAGTTTTAACGATATTTTCAATAAAAAAAAAAACAAATTATAATTATAATAAATTTGTATGCAATATATAGAGAGTAGACAGAGATAGATAGAGAGAGAGAGAGCGATAGAGAGATAGAGAGAGATAGAGAGCAATAATAAATTGATTATGAAACTAACTTTGATGCTAAATTTGCGTGTCTGAATTTTGACCCTCTGCTCAATCCAGCTAGGACGTCGACCACTTAACGATGGCTTTTGGTATAGAATTGAATTTAAATTTTAAATTCATTTGTTGTTTATTGTTTTTTAGTTTTTTGTTTTTTAGGTATAAAGAAAATGAAATATTTATGGTATTTTTGTTGAGAATATCAGTTGAATTTGCCATTGGCTTAAGTTCTTAGCTTCAGATATTTAAATAATACTTGATTAATAAACCAAACACTGTTAGAGAGAGAGAGAGATACAGATAGCTGGGAGATAGAGTAGTTAGTTAGAGAGAGAGAGAGAGTGAGAAGAAGTGTGTTGGGAATTTCTTTTAGTTTGGGTTTTTACATAACAAACACATTGAACGGGATTCGAATACAATTACATTTTTTTGAGTGTGGGACAGTTGAGAGCAAAAGAGAAATTTTCGACATTTTTAATTAAAGTATGTTTCCGTGTTTATTTGAAATTTAGTTTTCTATTTTTTTCTATGTATATATTTTTTTTTTGTTGATGACTCAGACCCAACTCAGTCGGTCGAAGGTTCACTTTCAATTGTGAGTCGCATTCAAATGGAAGATTGAATGGCCATTGAATTGGCTTTGAATTTTGTTTGTTTGCTTTGTCATCTTTTTGCACAAATCAAAAGTAAGTTAAATAAATATAAATAGTATCGGAACATGAGCAGCTGCTTGCGCCTATGCATCAAAATGTATATTTTCAACGAAATGTCAACAATAACAAGTATGAAACACACACATGTCTGCTGTGTGTGTTGGATGAGGTGGGTGTGGTGGCTGTAATGGGTGTGAATATGTCAATTGCATAGCTCGGCGCGTGGCGACTACATTTGCAAATGAGTGCCTGAATATAATGCCTGAATAACTGAATATATTTCAATGACTTCATCGAGCAAACAGCAGCAGTGGCAAAGTTAGCAGCAGCAGCAGCAGCAGCAACACTGGCGAAAATATGAATGAAAATTATAGGAAAATCATTTATGATCTAAAAATAAAATGACATAATTGTGTGTGTTATTAAACAGTGTGTGTTATTTGTCTATTATTGTCTATATTAAGTAAAGGCGAGTAGTCATCATTCGTTTAACACTACAGTTCAAGATACAAAGCAAATACGATCGGTTCCGAATGCTCTTCTGCAGAAATGATAATCGTTTCAAAGATTTTCACAATTCCGAATTAGCTCTTGATTTTTCTTTGATTTTGGGTGAGGGAAAGGCAAGACAATGAAACAGGCACACACACACACACACACTCACACACACACACACACAGAGAAAGAGAGAGAGAGAGATAGACAGAGATAGAGATAGAGAGAGAGAGATGGATGTATGGATTGGTGGGCATGGGCGATAGAGTATTACAATTAAGGTTATAAGTAAACATACACAACGAAAGGTTTGTGATTAGTTGAGGGGGTGAGTGTTGTGTGGATCGGAAAGCTGTATGGAAAGTTAATTTCATAAGTTGAAAGAACAAAATAAAATTTTTTAAAGTCACACATAGACGTTGCATAAGAATACACAGAGACCGCATTTGTTTTTCTTTATTTATTTTTTTTTTGGGTTTTTTTTTTTGTTGGGAAACTGTCAATTGTCTACACATTTAAAAATGGCTGGGGGCTTATGGAAACCAACAACAGCAGTTGTAAAACACATAATATGAAACATATACATATAAATATATATAAAACAAATGCCTGGGGTCACATTGAAAACATACGTGTATAAAATGGGGGGTATACATGTAGTTTAGATTCAGTCCAAACGCATCAATCAGGTAACCAATCTATCAATCAATTAGCAATGTAGACGAAACATGCCAACAGTTAGAGAAATTTTTGTATACAAATATTGAACAATGTTTTTTGGAACGCGCTGGAAACTTGTCTATCTAAACACTGACAAAAAAAAAAACAATATACATGAAAAGGGTTTAAATCAAAATTGAATTACACTTAACATTTAACGGTAGATACGCAGAATGGCCTTAAATCGATAATATCGTAATGGTCCACAGACTACGTCTTACAAGAGGTTCGATCTTACAATATTCACTTTTACGATATTAACATATACGATATTCAGCTGCGATTTGTTGAATGAAGTTGTATGCAGCGCATTGTGTGTGACATATTTCAATTCATTTGTTTTTGTTCAAATAAAACAGAAATCAATGTAAATACGATTAAGAAACCACTTAAGGAAATCAAAAAAAAAAAAAATAAATATATATATAAATAAAATCATGCCTAGAAATCATGAGCATTATTTTTCATTAGCACAATTTTGTTGGAAATATCATATCAGAAATGCATATAATACAAATAAGGAGCACAACTTACCGAATCGAGAGTTGTATCGATATTGCCATTGGGTCGATCGGCCAATGTTGTCTCCTTTAGATTAATCTTGACGTGATTGGCCGCTGAGGTGGTGGCGCCACCCCGTTGCGGCTTGGTGGCATCCAGCAGTACCTTAAGCGAGGCAATCGCATGCAGCTGGGTTGCCTTCTCGTCCACTTTGCCTGGAACATCATCTTTGTCATTGTAATTGTGTGTTGGGTTTTTGAGGGAGGTGTTTTTTTTTTTTTCGATAAAAAATGCATACACATAGTGTGTGTGTGTATGTGTATGTGGGTGTTGTTGAGTAGTAGTAGTAGTAGTAGTAGAGTAGTAGTAGTAGAGTAGAGTAGAGTAGTAGGCGGTGTTTTTGAAGTTTTTTTTTTGTTTTTGTTTTGTTTTTATTTTGTTTGCACACAACGAATTGAGTTTTGAACGCAAAATCCAAGTGTTTATTATTTTTCAAAAATCAAACGAATAAAAGAAGAAGAAAGAAAGAATAAAATTGCATCGATTAAAAATGAGAATAAAACGAATTAACCCAGTTAATTATATATCTTTTTCATATATATTTTGTTTTCATATTTTTTAAGTTAATTTACAAGCAGCTAAATGCCCTTATTATTATTATTTTTTTGTTGTTTTTTTTTTGCTTTTGGGTTAGAGTATATTGAAAATATTTTATACAAAATGTTGATGTCAGTTGCGAAATAGCATTTTGGAGGTTGATCATATAGTAGTAGTTAGAATAGAATAGTAGTAGTACGAGTTAGAAACTAAACTAAAGTTGAGAGGTATAGACTAGAACAGAGAGCGTATAGCGTATAGTTCAGAAAGCTAGTAGGACAGTGTAAGTAGACACATAAAACAGCATTGAAATCTAAGCATAGTTGAGAAAGGAACAAGGGGAAGGGGGGCGCTCATGAGTGTGTGTTTTGAGGGGGGAGCGGGGCATTACTAAACTACAGCTAAGACTAAGTAAGCTAGATATAATAACTAGACTAATACACTACTGATATTTACCGTGTCAGATCTCATGATTTTTTGTCTAATTTTTTCAAATGTTCTTTTTTAGTTTTAGTTTTTTTTCTTTTTTTTTTTGAGTGTGACAGCGATCTTGTGTTTTGCACTAGGAATTGGGAACTGTTTCGTATTGTTTTTCGTTTTTTTTTTGTTTTTTTAATTTTGAGGTTTTGGATTAATGCGATTGCGAATATCTTTTGGCTTTGGGAAAACGGACGGGTTGTTATTAATTAAAATTTGGTTTGTTTTTTTTGTTTGCTGTTGTCAATGTGGCATGAAGTGGTACGTTCTGGGTGTCAATCGACTGCTGCTAAAGAGCTGCCTATTTGTGGAGACCACACTATCATTTGACACTATCATTTTGGATATACATATACATATGTGTTCATATCGAAGGTACAGCGAGAGAGAATGAGAGACAGAGCTTAGATTATAGCCTAGCTTACAGTTAAATATACTATACGCAGTATATATATATATATATATATAGCTAATATATCTAATATACGTATTCATATTGCAAACCTTTTAAATACAATTAATACATATGCATCTGATACTAATACAAATTCAATTAAGAGCATGCTCTTTAATGGAACTAAGCACATTGGAATAGCATTGAAACATTGGCGAGCATTCATATATATATATATATTAATTAATAATTTAAATATTTTAATGACAATCTTGGTACAGTTGTGTGACAAGTGCTTAAGCTTAAAGCTTATCATTTAAGAATAATAAGTTCGGCATTTGTCTCAAAGATAAATCCATGAATGAATTTATTTATTTTGCATTTTGTCCATTTTTATGTGCTGACTGATATTAGTTGACATTGAATAAATAATTTTAAATAAAAATAGTTCAGTGTATTCGATTTGTCATGGGTAAATAAATAACTTTGTCAATAAAGTTTCGCTGCGGTGTGTCATCCTTGTTTCAATGCATTTTCCATTAATGAATATTTATAATTTAATATAGCTGCATTAGTTAAAAGGCACATTTGAAGACATATGTACGAACATATTTGAGTACAATGCACATTCCAACTATAGGTAAATATGAACGCTTCGAATTGAATATAAAATAGAATTGAATTGAATATAAGTACAACCCGCTCGACTAGTCAACTGGATACATGCAAGCACCTCGTTAATAGCTTGCAGCTATTAAGTACAATTGAATATCGTTGAATATCGCGTTGCTATTGGCTTGCTTTAGGCCCGCGCCAATTTCGAACAGCATTTTTGTAGAGGCAATTGTACTAGTTGCTAAGTAATTACAATTACAATTACGATTAACACACACGACATTAAATGCACACATTGTTTATAAATATGTAAGTTATATGTGTATGTGTTTGTATATGTATTGTATATGTTTTATATATTTAATATGTACAATATAAATTATTTTGTTATTGTCACGCGTCAAAGTTGACGTCAGAGGAAAATACAGAAACAAAACAAACTCTTCGGGCGAAGCAATGAAACGAAAGCAATCAAAACAATCTTAAAGATACAGATACAAATATTCACTCGTACATTCGTTAATGACACTAAACTGCGCATAACATTCTAAGAATGTTTTTTATTTTGTTTTATCGAACATGAGATATAAGTATTTCATAGATATAGTATAATATATAACGCATATGTATATAGTATATAAATGTAACTCCAAACTGACATTGAACAACATAAAATATTTTCGTTACTTGGTTTCTTTTTTTTTTTTTGTTTTCTTTTTTTTATTTTGTTTTTTGTTTATTAAGCAAAATTATCGAACAAAATGAATGAGCAAATAATATGGTATATGGAAAAGTAAATTGCATTTTAATGAGGCAGCAGCAAAGCTATACAAAAAAATATCGCATTGAAGCTTTAGAAGAAAATGAAACATGAAAATGAATAGAAACATAACAATGAAAAAAATATAAATATTATATTAAAATAGGGCTAGAAAAAGTTAGTTCGCTGGTCAATTTATGCAAGCTAATTGATCTGGATGAAATATAGTTAAAATACCCTATTAAAACCTGTGCAAATAGTTCGATAAACCCAGAATAAAAAAGGTAATTATTTTGGTTTAAAGACTTGATGAAACTATTTTGTTTTTTTTTTTATAATTTTCCAATTAAACAACAAGATTTAAATGCCCACTGGCAATTAAGTAACGACAACAACAGCAAATAAAGAATTCTAACACTTTGCGCTTGTAAGCCTTGGTAACCGCCCCATTGTCGACCCGGCCCTGGCTGGCTGGCTGGTTTGCTTTAGTTTGATTTAGTTTTTCAGTTTAGTTGTAGTTTGAGTTTGAGTTTTGTCTTGGACTTGGTCTGCGGGCCATTGCCGTGGCAACGCCACTTGTCAGCCCCATACATATTTATGCCCATGCCCGTGGCCCGGCTATGTGCCTAATACATAATAAATCAATGCGAGCACGTCCGGTGCTCTAATAGAAAGCCAAACCAGCGAATACGTGCCCCAAAAAAACAACATGGAAAACTTTGGCATTAGGGGTAGACCTGGCCACAGTTAACTGCGAGCTGCGAACTGCGAACTTGGAACTGGGAATGGTAATCATAATGGGAGTGTAGAGTAAGGCTGTCAATTGTCGAGCGCCAGACGACTCTCCGTCTGGCCGGGCTGACTGGCTGATTGGCTGGCTACGGCGTGGTAATTAGATAAGTGGCCTCAAGGTCAGCCATTAAAATCTAACCAACTCAATATAGAAACCGAAACAGAAACCGAAACAGAAACCGAAACAGAAACCAAAAAGCAAACAAACAAGCAAGAAAGAAACAAACAAAGCAAAGCACAAACAAAACGAAAGAGAGAAGGATAAAGATAAAGAGACAGACAAAAAAGAGAAGTTGCGCAGTAAAGAGTAAGAAGTAACTTTTTGCTAGCAAGTCAAACATCCAATTAGAAGGAACACAGAATATACACAGACTTTAAAGAATTGAACACAAAGTATTTTTTCACATTTTCTTTTTTTTAAGTTTTAAGTTTTAGTTTTAGTTTTAATTTAGTATAAGTAGTTTGGTATAATGTATTTGCTTTTGTTTTTGGATGTAAGCGTTTTGGTTATTGGCTGGGCGGGGAGCTCTTTGATTGTAGTTTAAGGGATGGGTTGGGGTTAAGGCAAGGGTTAATTTCATTTAATTTTCTTTAATTTTTTTGTTTTTTTTTGACTTGTGCAAAACACATTGTGTGTGTGACAAACTCAACGAACTTACCATCGTGTAGTGGATCTATCGTGTGTATCATTAGCTGTAATAGGCCATGACGGAATTTTGCACCGGTCTGTGTACTACCAGCGGTCCCACCACTGCTATTACCTGTAGCGCCCGCATTGCTCGAACCGGCCGGACCCGAACGGGTCTCGCTGGCCGCTCGGGATGTCACCGAACCGCCCGGCTGTGTCGCCATTGACGTTTCCGATGAGTTAGCCGCATTACCCTGAAGTGAAGGAAGAACGATGGTACGGGTGGTACGGTTACGGTTACGGTTACGGTTACGATAACGAGTACGATTATGTTGAGAGCGATTTCGATTTCGATTTCGATTTCAATTTCAATTTTGTAATTTTTTTTTTTTTTTTTTTTTAGAAACAGTGTAAATTTTGATTGTTAAAAGGGGGCAGGTGGTTAATATTAGTTAATTTTTTTTTTTTTTTTTTTGGTTTATGGTAAGCATTGTTGTTGAGAAAAGGTGAAAAGAAGAAGAAGAAAAGTTTATTATTGCAATTTGTATAAATTTACAGTTGAGTGTTGAGCATTGTTGTTGTTGGTGTTGTTGTTGTTGTTGTTGTTGCTGTTTTGTTGTATGTATTTTTTGTTGTTTTCAGCTGTTGTATCGCTTAAAAGCTAATCGAATTTTTAAGTGCAATTAATTGGAGCCAATATTGAAAACAGATTACAAATTAATAAATAACAAAATTACGTAACACAAAACTTTATAAATGGAAACCACAACATTTACCACGGACAGGTATTAAAAAAGTCTAACGGACCACAACTGTTGATGGAATTGATAGAATTTGTACTAATTTGATGTGTAAACGAAGCAATATTAACAGACTTTGTTTATTCTGAATCGAATGAAGCGAAATTGCAAAACTTCTTGTAGTTTGAGGAGAAGCATAAGCAAAGTTCGATTCGAGTGCAAGATAATGAGAAACGCATTTGAACAGTGCAGCAAACACTTTTGTGGAACGTTTTCATACTCAGCAGTTGGGATTGGAAATGAATTTTTAGGTTTAGGTGCACACAACTGGCTTCATCAGGTGTAAACAGCAGGCCCTTTAAATATGCACCACAATTGCTTGTGTAGCTCTAGAAATGCATTCCTCAGTATTTTTCTTATTTTTTTTTGTTTTGTTTGTGGTTTACAGAAATCAAATAAAAACAAGTTCAAAAATATAGAAACGTTTTTTTTGTACATATAAGGAAATTTTTGTAAAAATTTTAGTTAAATTTAAACATATATTACAATTTGTATCATTTGTTCTTTGCAACTGTTTTTAAGTATACATACAAGCTTCAGTTTTCAATGACTATTTTTGTATGTTTTTGGTTTTAGTTAAGAAATAAAATATACATAGATATACTTTTTTATTATGTATTTGTCAAAGCGCAGTGGGAAGTTTTGTTGTATTTCATTTTGCCTTCACTATAATCAAAAATGTAAACACAGAAAACATAAAATAGATTTCAAAATACATTTCTCAATCAAAATTTCAAATTCAAAACCGAAACTGAAACTGAAACTGAAAGCTCAGACTTATGACTGGCCAAAGAAAGCGCTAAAAGTGCGAGAAGAATAACCAAAAATTGTCTATCTAGCTAAAGATGTGAAAATGTTGGATGGCAGCTAAGTAATGACTAATTTATGTATATTTAGATATGGCCAACAGGTGATAATTAGTCAACATAATGTATAATGTAAATACATGTCAAGTACGTAAATAGATAGGAAAATCTTCACAATTATTACAAGTATATACAAGAATTAGAGATTGTAGTTGTGTGTGACTGTTTTGTGATTTTGTATGTATTTAAAGGAACACGCCCATCATGTAAAGTATTTCATGCAAATCAATGTAATTGAGAAACCCGTAGAAAAAGTATTTCTTCATTCATAAAACTGTTGGAGCTTTGAACTAGGGCAAGTTTCGAAAATTCTTTAAGTATATATATAATGATATATTCATTGGTAGAGAACAGGTCTAACCAGATCGTATTTCATTCATAAAAATGCAGTATAAAGAACTGTATTGAGAATAGGCCATGATTGAATATTTGTACATATATATAAAAATATAAGTAGTTCAAATCTCTGTGCTTATTTGAATAAAGAACTCGTCTACAGTCAACTATCTATTTCATTCGTAAATTATTCAGGGCAAATCAATGATTAAAAAATTCTTGAAAATACAATTATTATATTTGTTTGGCTAAGAACACGTCTCTATCCGCAACGTAACGTGGAGGAATTCAAGATAAGAAAATTCTTGAAATAAATCTATTAAGTAGAAGACAAGCATCTGTGCGATTATTGAGAGATCGCATCAAAAAACTGCAGCCAGTGCAGATACTGTTGACTGAGTTATGATAATTGTATTTGTTTAGTACAACCACATCGAATGGCATTCGCCAGAAACGGGGCCGAGTGTAGGGCAATTCAAGATCGGCAAAAACTAGCCTCCAACTAACTATATATATATATGCATATATATATAGCAGTAGGCCAATTAGCGTGTGGCTCGTGCCCAGGTGAACTACCTCATGGCTCATTATAATGCTAATTAATGGCGAGTCATGTTGTTTTGCCATTGCTAACACTCATTCAAGTTTCGATTTAACTCACGAGATTCACTCGGCAAATGACGCAAAGCCGACGAGGATCTATGAAATGAGCGACTCAACTGTATAAATATAGATAGAAATAACCAGAAAAGAGATAGCATATAGAGATAGCTTAAAACTGCAATTCTAGAAAAACAGTCAGAGCTGTTTTGATTGACTTTGACTTTGACACACAACAATTAGCAGTAATTAATATTATTAAAGTTCATAAAATCTTTGTTTGTCTTTTGCCCGCAAAGAGCGGTGAAATCATGCCAAAAGCATTTTAAAAAGCAATCACAACATCAACAAAAAACAAAGCGAAATTCATCAGTTACTACAGGTGCTTAAATCGCATAATAAATTAAATTTAAACTCGTGTGAATCACTTGCACACGATTTCAAAACTCAACACAAGTTCGAAAATTTCGCCAATACACAATATAAAAAAAACCAAATCCGAAGCTGAAGCCGAAGTCGAAGTCGAAGTCGAAGTCAAAGTCGATGGTCGACGTCGATCCAATGATCTAAGAAATGTAAATGGCAAATTGTATAATGAAACTGCTCGAACCGTTTAAAAACTCAAAGCACGGCTCAATTTGTCACTCAACCTGTTTGGGCTTCAGTTGCACCTGTCCGCCTTTCCGTGCCAGTGGGGTAGACCCCTGAAACCAGTTCCAAGAATTAATACCGATATTCCAGGGATTTCTTATTTACGTCGACTTTGTTTACTTTTCAATTCGCTATAGCCGATAAAATACGAATGGCTAATACATATCACAAGCTGATACTACAAAAGTAAAAAAGACACCACCCAACACCCGCCACCCCTTAACAAAACACCAGAGATAGCTCACAGTCACAGTCGCAACCACATTCACAACATTGACTCAGTCTCTCTCTATCTCAGTCTCAGTCTCTGTCTTAGTCTCTGTCTCTGGCTCAGTCTTTCTCGCCAGAGTCAGTCTCAGTTGAGCTTGGCTGCATGGAATGTATTATATATGGCTGGGTTATGCGCTCTGTGCACATCATTTAGTATCGAATCTTGAACCCAAACGCACCGGAACGAAACGAAACGGAACGCGCGAAGTGTGCCCGATCGCGAACAATGTTTCAGAAAAGGATTATCGAGCTATTTACGCTACTGTTCTATTGGATGGTTATAACACCGGCCATATATCAATACTGCAAGACACAAGAGTGGATACTTTGGGACTTGAATAAGCCATTTCAATCGTTCTCGGATCATGCAACGTTCGCACTCTGCCTGCTCGCTGGCTATGTGACCTTCTATCGCATCGTCATCTTCATCTACATGAAGCTAAAGGTGTGCGATATCCAGATGTGGCACACGCTGAAGAAGACCAAGGAGGATCCCGAGTCGCAGCTCAAATCGGAGGATAAATCCCATTATCAAGCGGTATCCACAGAGAACTTGGACACCGTCGATGCGGCAACGGCGGAAATGCCAAAAGTTATACGCACCATTAGCCATCCGCTGCTGGTCGAGAGCGATCTGGCGCGAATACACATCAAGCACGAGACGCGTCCGCTGCACAGCGCCACATTGCCCAGAGGGCAGCAGCAGCAGCAGAAGAAGCATCATCTCATCTCTAGTCCCACGCCCAGTCTACGCAGTGCTCCACCCGTGCCCTCAACGCCGCCGCGAACTCCTGGCATGGCTCGCAGGCTGAACCATGGCGTCGTCATGTCACCCGACGTCCTAATGGGCACCTCACAGCATCAGCTCTGCTCAGCTCAGCTCAGCTCAGCTTAGTTCTATTTAAATCGAGTATTAGCCTTAGCTGCACACCAAAGAACGAAACCAATTTATTCGCAATATTTGCAGACGATAATTATTCACAATTTTAGCTAATTTCTACACTCAGAAAAAAAGAAACGAATCGCCCTATACTTTTTGATTAATAAGCTGAGTTAGCCTTGGCGCCAAAAAGTATAGTGAATTTCGCAAATTCGGGTATGATTTTTTTTTTTGAGTGTAGCTCTGGTGGCTCTTCTTGTAACAGGAATAGACCATCTTAAGAGTATCTTCAGTTTTAAGTAGCGAATAGAAGTAGTTAGATATCTATTTATTAGCTTTTTTGTAAGCCAGATGTTATTAATTGTTTATCTACTAAATATTATGACGACGATATAATTATATATATATATATTATATTATTTTATACGATATATTACAATAATAAAACAAATGTTTGATTAATTCAAAGACCAGTTTGGCACCTATAAAATCTAGTTTTTTTCTTAATGGATATTGAATTCAATATAATTATTAGTTCAATTCGAATTATTTAATATTTGATAAAATATAAAAATTGAATTGACCCGTTCATCTATCCGTTTGTCCGCTATATGTGCAAATTGCCGTCACGAATTAATAACGAATTAATAATATTAAGAAACCCTCGCAATAAAACAATGACAGCCAAGTTATCTCTCTCTCAACTTATAAATAAATAATATATATATAAAAGATCGTATTCTTGAGCAGAAGAATAAAGTAAAGTGGAAATCGCTTTATAATAATAATCAGTTCATTGCATTCACTCAGTTGGCGAGCAGACTTCAACAATGCTCGAAAAAGTGTTCACAGAACTGCTCATAACGATCTTATATTGGTTTCAATACATTCCTTTTATATACAGGATATGCATTGAAAAGAAATAGCTACGTTTGAACACGGGTCGATTCCCTGCCATCAGATTCGGCAATATTTCTTTTGAATTTAGTATGCTTCGATGCGATCCTGCGAATCGTTATATATATTCACAAATTGATAGAAAAGCTTGAACGGACAAAAACTGAAGGAATTGTGTCTGAAGCTTAAGGAAGAGATCAGAGACATTGAGGCAATCTTGGACGTCTCGGATGGCCCAAAAAAACCGATCGCAGAGGATGCGATTCTTCCACAAAAAATAGTATTTGAGTTTTTAATATATTACGAGTATTGTATTAAACAAATACAATTATTGAAACTACAGGCAAAATGCTTTTTCATTATTTTTATTATTTATTTGTTTATGTAACAGCAGCTCAGCTCAGCTTGTGAGTAGCACAATTAAAACCCACATATGAAACGGGAGCACCAAATAAAGTTGTGGCGAACCCTTTCCCTATGGAAACTAACGTACTTCGTGCGTATAAGTAGAGTGTAAAAGCTGTGGAAAATGATAAATCAAAAAGTTGTTGAGATATTTACCAAAACATACACACTTTCTGTGTGCTTCTTATCGGACTGGTCTGTGTATATTTGTTTGTCTACATTGGCTTTTGTTAGGCTTTCATATAAAATGAGTAACAATGCACTTCGATCTACTAGATCTGTCTTTGAAGCTCATAACATGCATCCCTAGAATGCAGAATCTTTTTATAGTTAAGACGACACACTCTGATATATAAATAATATTGTTTTTTATATGCACCCAATAGTAATAATAATTAATGATTAATGGAGCGCCTTGGTTAAGTATATGCTTATCACAATTTAATATTGACGTAAGCAACCGCAAAAGATTTACACAACATTTGACCTTCTACATCCTGCTTCCTCAATAATACAATCAGCTGCATTATTGTTGGCAGCCCGTTGGGACGATGTTTGGCAAAGAAGCTGTGGATGTGTGCAGACTAATCGGGTATTGGGTGCTATTTGTGGCGGTGCTAGTGGTCTCTCGTGTCAAAGACATGATCTTTGATTATATGTTTACCAAATCGGATCTAACAGTTTACTTAATTATTGACTATTTGCTGACATCTCGCATTGTGGCATTTGCTTTCTTCAAGCTACAAAGGCCAATATTCAAATGTGGCACGGATTGATAAAAGCAGCCAAATAGAAGTGCAACTTGGGAAAAAACGAATTATAAGAAAGAAAACTGAGGCACCAGGTCCGCCTCAAACTTTACTTTTTATTCACAATCTTTAAATCTTGAAATTATTGTCATCTACGAATAATGGATATATTCTGAATTGTAATGATTATTTGAACAAATGAAAGTAAATTAAAATTGAAAATGGCTCTTCCTGGAAGCGCATAAATTGTACATGTTCAATTTGTCAAGTTCAATTTCTGCAAAGACTTTCAAGAAATCAATAAAATTCGATGTATGCCATTTTATATGATTTATTTCATATTGCGGCTGCCATTTTGTTTTCAGGTGAGAACCGAGCAATTTTATAGTTTGTTCAACCCATAAAAAGTGTGAGCGAGAGGTAAAAAGATAAACATTTGTGACCAAAATGGTGCAACTAATTAAATTCCAACGAGTTCTACACATGCGTGTGCGGGTGCGGTTGAGATGATTAAGATACAAGATACAATGTCCAGAATCAAGTTCAGATCGAATTCAAGTTCAAAGCGGTTTCGATTGGCCACATGCAAAGTTGTTCATGTTGATGTATGGCTGTGTGTATGTGTGTGTGGGTGTGGCAGCTTGTGCATGTATGTGTGTTGTGTGTGTGGTTAAACAAGTCGTAAGAGGCATAGTATTTGAAAGAGAGTCACAATTTAAAAGCACTAAGCACTAGGAACTGCATTTGAAGAGTTAAGAGTTAGTTAAGATCGCTGAGAAGCATGAAAAATGAAAGATAGTTCAAATAGAAGTTGAAATATAAATGTGAGTCGTAAACCAAAGTACTGAGACTAACCAGTCGACAGGTGTTGGACGATGATACTCGTAATAATTAAATATAGTCAAATTTTAATTAGTCACTGATGAGCTAAGTCAACCTATTTGTTATATTTAATAATGCCATGAAATTGTTTTAGTATTATTAATAATAATTTACAAAATCTTTGGTCAATGTCAGTTGCAGGTCTGGTTGCCAAAAAGCGCTCAATCCAGTTTTGAGTTAAGTCTCAAAGGTGAAATTCAATTATTGTCAACTCATCAGCTCAGCCTCATCATCAATGCCAAAGTCGCATTTCATGTTAGTCATGCACCACTGTCTATCTCTCTTTCTCTCTCTCTCTTTCTCTCTTTCCCATTTTCTCTCTCTCTCTCTCTCTCTCTCTCTCTCTGGGCCCTTAGTCACACTTGTTAACTGGTTAGTCTGAGCCATTAAAATGCAAGGAAAATTATTTGGCCAAAGAAAAGCATACGGTAAAACAAAATCAAGTGAGAATTAAACGAAAATATTTCCTGGCAAAGGAATTCAATTTTCGTTTTATTTTTTTTATTTTTTTTCGATTTTTGCAGACAATTTGCAATTTCGCTTTCTCTTGAACGATTTTCTTGATTTATAGTTATTTAAAATTTTTTTTTTTTTTGTATTAAATTTAAAATTTAAATTTAAATTTTTTTTTTTTTTTTTTTTGAATTGTTTGCAAAAAAACTTCCCAACTACTTACTGCTGGCATAAGTTGATCTGTACTTCGGACGCGAGTCACCTTGTTTTTGGTAATCATCTTCTTGACGCAATGCTCCACCTGAACGTTCCACTTCATGAAGGCCACATAGGCAATATAGATGGTAAACAGGATGAGCGCCTCCCACCAAAAGATGCGATTGTCGCGAAAAAAGTAGATCAACACCAGCAGACTGATGCTATAGAATGAGCAATCCCGAAACAGTGGCCACCACGTCAAGGATAAAACAGTGCGCGAGAATAGCGCACACATCCCAATGACGAACAGTATGTTGAAGACGGCAGATCCGACAATCGTACCAATGCCAACATCGTCGAACGACACGAAAACGCCAATGACACTCGTGAAGAGCTCTGGGGCACTGCCACCCGCGGCCATAAACGTTGCGCCGGCCACATCGTCCGTGATGCCGAGCTTTTCAATGATTACGTCAAGGGAAGGCACGAAGAACTCATCGCAGACAATTGCCAGCGCCACAAACATATAAATCACACCGATAATGTGCAGGATGACAGCGCCGTTCTCAAGCTGTTCTTTCGTGAATAGATCTTTTGGGAATAGTGGCGTTTTCGTAGCGTTTGAACTGTCGGTTAGCGTTTCTGCAAATGGAGAACACAACATTGAAAACATTAGTCTTACGTATAATCGAAATAAATATAATTAAATGATGTAAATGCAGAATAAAACATTCAAAGCATTACTGCTACGTATTAAGGAATAGCTAATAGTAAATTAAATAAATTAATTGTTGATATCAGTGCAAATTTGAGATGACCTTTCCAAATACCATAGGCAACTTTAGTATTAACTATAAAATATAATATAAATATTTATCAAGAAGTCAGGAGTCGATCAGTTTACATCCTAATTTAATTATAAATTGGCATAACTTCATACATACAAATCATTTTTTTGATCTGATTGGGTTTTTTCTGGTGTTGTTCCCCAATTCATGCAACAAATTCGGGACCATTTTCCAAGTACCCTCAGAAGTTTTATAAACATTACTTTTTAATTTATTTATATAATTTTAAATCTTACTTTAAATTTACTTTAATTCCATTTTTTTACTTTTGTGTCGACGGATTTTAGTTGACATTAAATAAATAAATAAATAATATATAATTATAACATGACTTAGAACCATTTTCATAATAAATTTAAAATTATAAATTTAAATAAAAAATGTTCCATTTGTCTGAGTACATTTCTCTAACCAACTTAGTTTTCAGAACTAGCTGCCTTTTAATATTTTTATTACCACATTTTTGAAATTGTAAGCGCCTTAAACTTGTAGTAGTAGCTTTTGTGCAATTTATTTTATATGTTTCTATTATATTCGAAATATTAAATGATTAATTTTATTGACGGCTTAATGGGAAAAAACATTTGTATTTCTAATTTACAGCCAATTGGCAGACTGATTAAAAATGGAAGAACATATATGTAGATGCATGCAAGCAGCTTTAAAAATAAATCAATATTAATACAACTTCAATTAAAAAATACTCATTTTAATGTTTATCTCTATTGTGTTTGTTAGCTTTGATTTATGAGCTAATTGATTATTCACACATTTACATAAAGCGATTTGGTGTCTTGAGACAAGGAATTTGGTCATATTGAATATTTAGCAATCGTAGAAATACATTTATATAAATAACTAAAAATAAATAATTCAATTATCAAGCAGCTAACAGAACGTGCTAAATTTGTCATTGCGCATAGCTGAACACAAAATGAGGAAGCTCGACCTTTAGCTGTGGCAAGTAATTTGCAGTTGCAAGGCATGAGCACATCGCATTGCGCATCGTCTGAGCAAACATACGATTACAATTCAATCCGTCAGATATCCTCAATTGAATGGCGCGACCTTTTTGCTTAAACGCTGGCAAATCGCTGCTAAAACGCCTCACAGGCGGCACCTTTTGTGCGCGCGATTCACCATTGCAATTAACCGCGAAATTATGCAGCACATTTTGCAACAATTAACAAATTGCAACTGCAACAGCAACAGCAACTGCCACAACAACTGCAACTTCAATTGTTGTCGATAATGGCAAATGTTAATATTTATTGACTGATTCATGTCATTATCTATACCCTAAGCACAACGGCTCTAATAAATGGGCCAACACATCGTGTAACTATATTAAAGTACAAGTCTTAAGAGCGAGTTAAAATCTTTAAAGCCATTAACTGTTTCCAGATATGTTAAACAACTTATTTCTGTTTTATATATTTTAATTTATGTACCAAATTATTTTAAAAATATGTACAATTATAAACATGAAGTAAAAAATAATGTTCAATCATGTTTTGTTTATTTTGTTCACTTGAAAGCATAATTTTCAATCCTTTTTATTTTTATAATTATATTTGAAACAACGTATTTCTGATTTATATATTTTAATTTATTTAATAAATTATTTTAAAAATAAGAATGAAAATGGCGACATAAAAATAAATAAAAATTAAACACTTTCAATTTCAGTCATTTCTGTTTATTTTGTTTGCTTGAAAGCATAATTTGTATTAATTTTTATTTATATTGCTGGAGTTTGAATGAATATACTTCAATAAAAATATAAGCTTGACATATTATACTCTTCTGGAGCCGACTACAGGGTATCTTGACTGCTATCTAAGTTGTTTGTTTTGTTTGCTTGTTGTGCCTGATTTGTCATTTGACATAACAAAGCAAATGCTGTCGCTGGCATTATTTACATTGTTTGCTTAAGATTTGATTGCTTATCACACTGGGCACAATTATGTTGTGACTTAATATTCAGCTTAAATACACTTTGTACTCGATCTATTATTCAGTGGATCGAGTTGAGTCATTTGCGGTCAACCAAGAACTATGGCAAACCGGTTTCCATGCGATACGACACACTTGTAAATTTGCATGCAGTTAACGGGGCTGGAAAACAAAACACCCACACACCCACTCACACACACACCCACACACACAACAGAACAACGACAGAACCCACCTTTCACAAGGCATCCATCCTTTCCGCCCCAACACCCCCCATTTTGAAAAACAGATTTAAAAACACTCAACGCGAGAACGTGAGCAATAAATCAATGTTACAAATGAATCACTTGCCAAATACTTAATGAATGACTGAATGACTGAATGATTGCAGCAGTTAATGCTGATACCCTCGACAAATTCAATACTCAAGTTGGATTATAGCTGAATTATGCTTTCTATATATAGGGCGGAATATTGTTATTATGCCTCCATGATTCTATGTAAATTGCAAATTAACAACCTGCGCAATATATTAATATATACATATATTTCGCTAGTAATTTATATGATCCATGTTTTCCATTTGGTTATCTACAGTTTTTGGTATTTATTTTGAAGTCATATTGTAATATTGTACAATTCACATATACATATATATATATATTAAACATATCATCATCACAGATCATCTGGAATTGTTTACGATTGTTAAAAATGGGCATGTTGCTATCATTATCTAGCCATAAGAAATGGAAGCACATTTGAACACCCAACACTTTTAGAAGAGAAATTTGCCAATAAAACTAGAAGAATATATTTAACAGTTGGAATCAGGGTATGCCGTAGTCGAGCACACTCTACTACAGCAATCTTATTTGTTTTTTATTTGTTTTAAATTATATTTTGTTTTAATTTATAGTTTGTTTGGTTGTAGGCGTGCGTAGAGTTGTCTACAGTTGGCTATGGGAAGGCAATGCTTTGAATATCAAACCAGATCATCTAGAAATTGCTGCCTGTATGGGTACGAATACATTTATGACTAGTCCAACTGACTGACGGAAGACTGATAAACGTTTGCCCAGTAAAAATGGTAAACAAAAACAAGCGTTATTCACTATATATGCAAATTGAAATATACATTTTATAAATTAGGAGAGTGGCAACAAAGTCATTTGCTCTTTATTAGGGTAACAAAGACTATAAGGAAATAGGCATAATAATAACCAGATACAAAGTAAGCCTGATTTTTATGTTTTTATTAAATGTGTTTATATTATTTTCATATATATAGATCATACTTATATCATCCAACAATGAAATATAAATAGCAATGTTGGTCTAATGCTAAACAATTATTCTTATCAACATTGTTTGCGAATAAAATTAGCTCATGAGTAATTGCAAATAAAATATGAATAAAAAATTTTAAGAAAAGCTAAGTTTAGAATTATCAAAGTGAGATAAAAAGAAGATAAGACTAAAGAGAATTTTTTGAGGTTTTACAATAACTAGTTGTTAACGAAATAAATAGAAGATAAGACTCTTTTCCAAAATATTTTGGAGATTTTACAATAATTAATTGTTTTCTTATATTCGTATTTCAGATTACATTTTAACGAAATTAATAAAAAAATTGAGAGAAGTAAAGTTAATAATAATTAGATGGAGATAAAAAGAAGATAAACATCTTATAAAGTATATTACAATAACTACTTTTTAATGTGTTAATACTCAGAAAAAGGAAATAAAAATCTTAACTTATTTTTTTAATTATGCCATAATTTTAAGAGAAGAGCTAGGAACAATGACTTGTTGTTAATTTAATTTATTTGTTGTTATCTGAGTCTACAATTTGTGGCATGTGGGCGCGTGTCGTCCGTCAGTCTGGCTGGCTGCCTGAGTTAGTCAAGATTTGGAGGCCAATCGAGTGTTGAAACCAGTTTCAAGTGCTGACTGCCAAAATGCTACAACACAGTTTGACTAACCGCATGCAATCGCGATGTGAGCACTCTTCTAGAGTCAACCGCAACACACCCACACCCACACACACACACACACAAAGAGAGATATGCGTCACGATGTCGAACGAGAGTCGAGCAAAAGCCGCAGAAAAAGTCGCGTTCGTTTCGCAATCAGTTGCAAATTGAAACTCGAATCGCTCAGATGGTAGCCGCAGCAGTGGAAACCGTAAGCAGTGCCGAGATGTTCGTCAGTCATGCCACCATACACCTGAAGCAGCCACAAATTGAGGCGACACCACACATGTACTGGTGGTGCACACAGGTCACAGATCAGCCGCAACAGCAGCAGCAGCAGCAGGAAGTTAGGGAAACGCTCGTGGAACGTGTTAAGCAAAATGGGAGCACAACAACAAAAGCCACGCCCACTTATACGCGCCCGCGCATCCAGGGCAATGAGGCAAAACGCCAGAATCTGTTACAAACGCTGGACAACTTCTATGCAGTAGAGCGCCACGACAGCGCCTTGAATCGCGTGACTAAGTGAGATGAACAGTCATCTATACACATATATATATATATATATATATATATATATATATATATATATATATATATATATATATATATATATGTATTGTATATCTGTTTAGCCTACTTATTAACCCTATATGTGCCAATGCCAAACAAATGTGGCCTTGAAAATACGCAGCAAATTATAATTTAACACATTTCAACTGATATTTATATGATTTATTGTTTATGGATCACAGCAAATTAAGTTTGACTTTTAAGAATAAACATTTTAAAATAAGATTGTGTGCGTTTAATATTATATTATATAAACATTTAAATAGAGTCAATCATAACACTCAACTTGAAGCTTGAGCTGATTCAAATTCTACACACGCTGCAGCACGCAGCTGGAATATCAAGTGTTATAAAGGGGTATGCCACACTTAAAGACTTGTATGTAACAGATGGAACAACAGCGCCAATAAGCCTATACACGATATATATATATTTATATATATATATATATATTTATAGTTCATTCCTTCCAAATCTCTTTCTCTTGCCGGCTTTATATTTACGCTTCTTATATTATATAATGCCTCTGTATTACAACATCTCTATTATTGTAATTTGCTCCGATATTACGACGATTATACTTAATATTATGCATGTCTGGGAAGGTCATAAGTTTTTGTGGCTTGAAGTTGCGATTGTTTTCTTTGCAAATGACAACCATCAACATAATCACCAGTAGCAAATATTTGAGCAGTTGTCACGTTCTCAAAATGTCAAAATAAAAGTTGCATATGCCATTCCCAATAAAGCTACAGATAAATAATAAAAAAAAATATGTATACCGAGATACATTTGTATCTACAGCTACACTTTTGGCAGTAGCACTCACTTCTCTCTCTCTCTCTCTCTCTCTCTCTCTCTCTCTCTGTCTCTGTCTGAACAAGCAATGGGTTAAGATTAAAGTGCTGATAATAAAATCAAGAATAAGGTAAAATAGTAAAAGAAAACCAGTTAACTTGTTCGCTTTTAGCTTTTTTTGTTTTTTGTGCGACGTCATCAATGTGCATAAATCACGACTGAACAAACGCACAAAATTACACGGAGCCAGCGCCAAAGGCCGGAAGTTCATTACGGGCCGGGTGGTAGGTGTTCTACAAAGCGGAAGCTAGCCAAGCTATAAATGTGTTTTAGTGCTCTATATATATATATATATATATATATATATGTGTGTATATGTATAGTGTCGATAGTGGTGGCTGCATGGTTTCACGCTTTGTGAAGCAGCTGCTAATTTATCAGAGAGACAGCGCGCTTTGGCACGGCGCAAGCAAGTTTCAAGGTAGCTTGGCTGGAATCGATTAGCAAAAACGAAATGGAATGAGAACGAAATGGAAAATGGCGAATGGGCGAATTGGGTGGTTTGGGGGGAATGTTGGAATGGGAACGAGTACAAGTACGAAACGTGCAATGCACATGCAAATTGACAGCTCGGGGAATTGGATGGCCCCGCCAGGGTTGTCAAGTGGCTGTTGAATCAATGCAGCAAAAATGTGTGCGTGTGTGTGTGTGTGTGTATGTGTGTGTGTGTGTCTATGGCAATGTTGAACGAGCCACTTAAGCCTTGCCACATAAAGTTTATGAGTTCAGTTACGAGCCGAGCTGTCGATGCGATGCTTTGATGAAGGTTCTCATGTGCAAAAATAAATTTAAAAAAAAAAAGAGTGTATATATATACATATATATATGTATGTATGTATTTTGCCAACCTGCAAGCCATGAACCCTGAATTTCGCAACGTTATTGTAAAAGTTGTAAAAGTATTTTCAGTATAAGAACAACACTGTGGCGCTAATCAGGCTCCTTTGGGTCGCAGTCATAAATAGTTGAGGGTTCTTTGGCTGCAAAGTGCCACAAATAGTGGGTTTTCAGCTGCAAAGTCTCCAAAGTGCCTGGCAAAATTTTGCAAATAATTTATGGGTCATCTGAGTTGTTTACTTTACAAGAGCTGCGTAACTTTCCCCAAGACTATAAGTCATACAGCAGCAGCTCTCTCTCTCTCTCTCTTTAAAGTTTAAACGTTTAGAATTTCTTAATGTTAATACTTTTTGAAATATCCGGATGTAATATTAAAGTATACTAGCAATTACAGCACGTGCTTGACATGAGTCAACTGGGTTATTACTAACTGGAAAGGTTTCAGCTAAAACTGACAGCATTTGAGAATACTTCAGCGTGTGTAATAGACTCGGAAATACCCTCTTAACTACCTTCTTGGTGTAAAACAAAACTGTCGTAAAATGAATATGTTAATAAAAGTTCTGAAATCTCTAGATTTACCCATTTACAAATGTGAATCGTGAGTCTGATGACACATGAGCTGGATATTAATTTTACATAGAAAACTGTTTTACATTTTGCAAATGATTCTAATTAATTATATTATAGAATTATGTAAATTTGTGCTGCACTGAAGATTTATGCTTGTGTGTTTTGCATTCAGATTGCGTTTCGATTATATTCGTTTTTAATAACCAGTTTTAGTCGAACGAATTAAATGAATCACGCAGATACAGAAAAAACAGGTGCCTCTGGGTCTCAAATAAAACCCCCAAGAGTGTGCGAAAGAGAAAGACATACAAATGATGATGATAAAGATGATTATGATGATGATAATGATGATGATGATGATATAATGAATCATCATGTGTAGCAGCTGCTGTTTTTAGGGTTGTGCAGTTCGAAATTTGCAACTCCTGCTGACTCACTTGGCAGACAGCAAGTTTAAATGGAAATTTAATTTGAAATGCGAAATGGGTGCATATAAAAATGTTAATGGCCAATTTAGTCACACATATACGCATACGCTGGCAACTCTGACTAAGCATATGGCCACACTGGCACAATTGGTGTCCTCAAAATGAGAATGTTCCAACGCTAGCTAAATATTAAAATTAAGTTACTTTAATATGCCATAATATATTATATCAGAGCTCTAAAGTATTTTGTTTAAAAAGGACGAAAATGAAGCTACACATCCTTCATGCTAAGCTAACTACTGTCAACTCTAGATTAATACTAGATTTAATTTTATTTGTATATGATTCCAAATTTACGTCAAAAACACATCTCGAATGTCAATAATTAAAAGTCGGCCAAATGCTGTCATCTGTGCTCAGTGCCACAAATCGACTTTCAACACACACACACACACAAACACATTCCCTTCCGGTTGAGTGTGGCATGGCTTTTAGCATGCAACTTGCTCGCCCTTGCTATCCGTGTTTTTTTTTTGTTTTTGCTGCTAGCATTTTGATTTATCGATTTACGTTTTCGTTACCATCTTTTCATTTGGCTTTCCACATTTCCACATTAGCAGCTCAATCATTATTCTTTCCCATTTTTTTTTTGCAGCCTTTTAAATACTTATACTAAGCTTTTTTTTGGGTATTTTCTTTTTTGTTGACCGCCTGCCGTTTGGGTCGAGGTCTTTTGCAGTAGGTTTGAGCTGCTCCTGCTGCTGCTTCTTCCTCTCTTTTTTTTTTGTGCCACCCACGAGAAACGTCGTTAACAGTCACGTTAGCAGCGAGCGCAATTTGGGTCGATGGCAAAATAGAAAAGCCAAAAGCAAGGCAATGCCAAACACACACACACACACACACAGCAGACACACACACACAGCAGACACACACACACACAAAAGCATTTCCAACAAAGGCCGTTGTGAACAGACCAATGCACATTTATTTCTATATATGTGTGCACATGTACGTATACATATGTATGGCACTGTACACATGACATATGTGTATACAGTGCTGCTCAAATAAATGCGTACAAACATTTTATGCGCCAAAAGTTAAGTGCTTCACTTAAACTGATTGGAGTTTATAAAATCATTTAAAAAGTGCACAGCAAATATTGTTGCTCTCAATTTAAATTAATTGTAGAAATAAAAAGTAAATTCAACTCAATCAAGGATTATGCACTCAATTATATGGCCAGCACTGTATATATCTGTTATATCTGTACACAGGGTGTCAAGCCCAAACGAATTTTGGGTTGTCAAACCGATAAATATACAAATTCCATTAAGGATTCGAATTGGTAGCTGATTTTGATTTTTACGTTGAGTAAAATAAGTGTGAATGTTCCGCTGTTCAACATCGGATAAATATATCATATACGTATAGCCCGCTGGGTTTCTTAAAGAGCTCTGCTTAAAATAACAATTAAAAATGGGTAAGTCTATATATATATATATACATATATATATTCTTGATCAGGATCAACATCCGAATCAATGACAAATATACAGAAAAATGTTTAATTTTGATTTTGATTTTAACTCGGATTCTGAATTATGCGTTTCCGATATGACACCCTGTTTATGTAATTATATATGTGCACATGTGTGTTTGTGTGCGTGGGTGTGTGTGGGTGAGCCACGTTATATTCGCTCATTTTGTGTACTCTTTTTTTGGGGCATTTTGTGCTTGGTTTCTGTGTTGTGCTGGGTCTGGTTTCATGTTAATTGCTCGTAGCGTCGCTTGTTCCGGCAATCTGCGTTAATTTTAAAGCTTGATTTACAGACTACAACTAGTCCTTGATTTTCTTGTTGTTGTCGTTGTTCTTTCTCTTCTTCTTCTTCTTCTATTTGTTGTTGTTGTTGTTTTTTCTGTCTGTGTTCTGCTTTGCTTTCGTTTTGCTGTTGTTTTGCTGTCGTTTTGCGGTTTGCAGCTCAACTGCAATTTGCGCCCCAAAGTACACAACACAATATTTTCGTTGTAGTTTCATGTGTGTATTTGTGTGTATCTGTGTGTGTTTGTGTAGTGTGTGTGTGTGTGTGTGTGTGCATATGTTTGGTTTGCACTACCCTCTTCCGCTGCTTGAGCCCACAAGGGAGCTTAACGAGGCATTTAGGCATATTTAGTTGCAAAAAATAATGATGATAAGTGCACATTAAAATTAATAGTCTGAGTGCTCAAGCAATTTGTGGCAATTTGCAGCAAGAGGGAAAATTAAATTAAATATAAAAATAAATATTATTATTAAAATATATTACCAAATAAAATATTCTTTTAAATGTTCTTTTCTTGTTCTTAATATAAATTTAAATCGTAATGGATTTTTCTGTGTCGGCATTAAATAAATAAATACAAAAACAAAATAAAATGGATTAGTTGAAGAATATTTTTATAAATTGGTTTTATTACTAAAAATGAGAATTGCGTAGTCGAGTTAACTCCAAGAAATTTGTAGCGAGTTGTGCTTGTTTTGGGCCCACTCCTTTGTTGTTAGCCACATTGGCGCTTCTGTGTATGTGTGTGTGTGTGTTTGTGTATATGCAGCAGACAGACAGTTAAAAAGAAACAGATGGGCGCTAGGGGAAGACAGGGGGTGAGAGGTGTGACAGGAGAGACAGCTCAGTTGAGTCATTAAAATGAGAAATGGCTCCGGGGTCTCTTCGTATGCCTAGGCAAACATTGTGCCACGACGGGTTTAATTGTTGTTGGCCAAAAAGTGTCTGTTGTTTTTGGCCTTCCCAAATGGAAACAGTAGCAGTTGCCCAACAAAAAGGTGAACAACGAGGTTCCCACCGACTTGACTTGGGCCCCAAGCCGTGTCAAAATGCACAAATGCACAAGGAGTAGCTCACAATTTGATGAAAATATATCTATATAAATATATAAAAATATTATATATATTATATATTATGTTTGTGGAGGTGTTTTAGCAGCTGTTCAAGTTGCGTCAATTATTTATATTGCCAAACATTGCGTATACGTAATTTATGTGTGAGTTAATGGGATTGTTTGCCACATTAAATATAACGCATACGCCGCGTTGAAAGAAGCGAAAACGCTTAAATGCAAATATACAAAGGCATTCTGTTTTCTAAAAATAAAATGGCTATTTTGTTTTGCTTTTAACTGGGGCTACTTTCTAGCCATAAATTTTTTATTCTAATTAATGCTCACATATTTTATTTACACATTTTCCTCAGTACAACTTGGCTATGAGAAAAGTTAGCAAAAGTTTCCCATAATTTCCATTAAAAATGGGCAAAAAGGTTCAAATGGTTTTGTGCGAATGTTTGTTACAGAAGGCAGAAGGAAACATAAAGTATATGTATACATTCTTGATAAGGATCAACAGTCGAATCGATATAGCCATGTGCCTCTAGTCGTCTGCTGATTTCAAAGAGATTTAAGAGCTACAGCAAATTTGTTATATAAGTTCTTGTTAACTCCGCGCATTCAAGTTTACTTAATTGTATCGATTCTTATCAATTTCCGATAGAAATAAAAGTCTCAATTTTAAAAGCAAGCCCTTCCAATTAATATATAGTATTTACTTTGACATTTTATTGAACATTTGCATAAATTTCATCAAGATCTCAAATTGATCCAATTACTATCAGTTATAAAGGCATATAATGATAAATAAAATACACAGAAATATGTGTCGATATTCTGCTTTGCATTTGAATGTGCATCTCTTTTGAATATTTGTTTTTATATATTTATATTTTTCGAGCTCATTCGTTTTGTATGACAATTAAATTCTTGATTGCTATGTGCAAATTCAGCTCGACTTTTTTAAGAAACAAGAATAGAAAGTTCGAATTTCAAAGACTTGGTTTAAAAAGCTTTTACTTCCCGAAGAGGCAATAAATCACATTTTTTTGTTACCTAACAATTTTAATAAACTAAATAGCGTCTTTACAGCTGACGCAAGTGAGGAATTTGAAAAGACTCTTAGATATATATGTATATATATATATATAATCCACATCCATCTCGTAAATATTTGAAGATGCGTGTGCGTATTTTCCATTTTAGATTCAAATGCTGCCTAATAAATGAAATTCTCTTGCTCGATTTCACTTCTTATTAGCAGCAACAAGAAATATCACTCATACGCATTCCACGCTGTGTCTGTGACTCTGAGCTATGCAAGTCGAATTCAATTTACGCGCTAAGAGAGAAATCCTCAATGTCAGCAAACCCCACCCACTCAATTGAATTGTACATCGCCTGTCGCATAAATCACTTATACGCCCCCTACCCTCTGCCCCTTACTCCTAGGAGCCTGCCTCGCTCTCCTTGCCTCATTTAAATACAAATGCCATTAGTCATAGTCGCAGCCAAAAGGCCAAATCACGCATAAGTCGTGTTTGTTGTGCGTAACACTGCGTGTATGGGTGTGTGTGTGGGTGTTTATGGGTGTGTTTACAGTGGTAAGCATATAAGAATTAAGAACCGTCACTGATTTCAATGCTTATTCGGTTATTATTCTTCTAGATTTTAGTTTCTAATTTTTGATTCTACTTTTGTAAAGGTTGAACTAATTTTATTTATATATTTTCTGTCTCACATCTGGCTGTGTTGGATATTAAATATGCCACATCTAAATAAATATGTTTTTTACCATTTTGAATCCCATTGTGATTTGTCTTCGTTTTGATTATAAAAAGAGATCGACCAACAATAAACGATCCCAAAACTTTAACTTTAAGCTATCGTTAATTTACAATAGTAAATTTTTACACCTTAATGC